GAGCCTTTGACCTAAAAGTCTGATCCACAAGGTAGTGGATCAACGTCAGGAGATGCAGACCCATGGTTGCCGGTGACAAACGATTGATTCATACGTTATTTGTTCCCTCAGCATACTGGAGCCAGCCCATGTGCAGCATTGGTTTGGAATCAGGGTTTTCCAACTACCCTAGGTGGACTCGCCGTGTCCACCAGCCCGGTTAAAGTGCCGGACATTGGCTTTTCGTCCTCTCAATTTCGTAAACAACAGTAATGCCACGAGAAGGCAGTGAGTAGGACTTCCCTGGTAGAGGCTATATACGCTTGGCCATGTGAGAGCATTTGGAGAGGGAGAGCGGACTCCTTCCACTGTCGGCAGTACCAGGGCATTTGGGGGCTTCTATTGAATCATGACTTGATAAGATGTTTCTCAATGTTTCTAGAGCCCGTTTGACCTTTTTCCTAAGAGTTTTCGAGGTCTTCTCAACAAACAACATTAATAATCATGATAGTACATGTAAACTCAAATAACAATTTTGATTAACAATATGATTAATGAGTTGATAAAAAATAGTAACAGTCATTGTTGAATTCATTCATACATACAGTTGACCTCAATAGGAACTAAAAGTTTAAGTGATGATAGAATAAGTATTCTATGTCAGATATGAGTATGTTTATTCACCCTTATTATTGCTTGTCATAACTTGTTATTACTTTAAGAGAAATTGTATATTATTAAGTAAATATTAATACATTTATGAATTATATATAATTTAATAGTTGAAATTATGAATCGATTAAAGCTAGACTACCATGTAAAATCTGGAAGAACTAGACGGCCGTTTCGTTCTAGTATGGGACTCCTCATCAGCGTGCATTCGAACCCAGGATCTACCAGTCTCGAGCGCGAACACTTAACCACTAGACCACTGAGCCTGCTCACATCCAACGGTATTAATGTCTAACTTCAGACGATCCACGAATTTGAGTGACACATTTACCATTGTCTTCAGTGAGTTGATATCTCCCAACACACCCGGTTGAACTCCACTGATCACTGCTTCTCACTAGAACTCCAGGAAATACCTCTTGAAGCCAGTCACTAGGGAGCATATGTTGAATAATACCAGAAAGGGGTATTTTGTGGATATTATAGTAATTTAATAGTTGAGATCATGAGTCAATTGAAGCTAGACCACCATAGAAAATCTGGAAGCACTGCATGACCATTTCGTTCTAGTGTGGGACTCCTCAGTAGAGTGCATCCACGATGGTCTAGCTTCAAATGACTCATGATCTCAACTATTAAAATTACTAATATCCACAAAAACCCCTTCTGAATTATATATACATACATATTGATTTTATCTCACTGTATATCTATAACACATTTGCTGTGAACATCCCATAAGGTAAAATGTATGTGTACGTATAACAGAACAATTTATCAACGTCTTCACAACTTGTACTATTGTTATGTCCCGATAAGAATAATGAATGGTAACTTTTGGGATCCATTTATGGAACAATACTAAGCATATATTCTTTTATCGTATAATTGCTAAATAACTAAACTATTCATATTCACGGCCCTCTTATTATGAGCTTTACTTTAACTGATGAACTACTGTTATACGACTTGCCATTCTTGAATTATGCCCTGTCTATCTCCCCTATTCACAGCTAAATCTTGTACAAATGTTGTTTTTCCTATTTTATGGTACGATGTGGTTTGTCTGTTTGGTATATAAACCCAGTATGCTTGAAGTAAATGATCCACACCACAGAGTCTGAGATTGGTGTTCTGAACTTAACTGGTTGGGCTAGGCAGAAAGCAGGACCGACAAGTACTGTAGACTGCTTGCACAGCTTTCATGCGGCATTGGTTCGATCGATAAGTCACTACTCTCTAATTGGCGGTATTATCACGTTATACATTAACAGGGCACTCAAGCTATAAGTTATAACAACTATACTGTTGTCAGGCCCAGTTAATGAATGACACGTTTAGATACATGTTTATTATCATAATTGTACAACGATCAAAGGTTGAGTTTTGAATAATTATTATTAAAATTTGCTTTCTGACTTTTTCAAAATCCCTTCAATTAGTTTTCATTAGTTATCATAACACAATTTAATGCTTGCTCTTCAACAATCTCCACGGGAAACTTATACAATTGACTGTGTCCACTTGTGTTCTTGTTTACTACAAGTGAATTTTCGATTAGGATCATTGTTTCGGGGTTTAATAAATCCTCACTTGTACCTGTATTGGTGTCCTTACTTCAGGTTGTGAGAATTACAGTGGTCCATCGTTTTACAAGTAATAAATGATTACAACATAGCAATCAGTGACAACCAGACATAACAATCGACGACCAGTCGTAAACCCATCAAAGTAACTTATGCTGGACGAATTTAAACTAATCAGATTACGACAATGAACCATTAACAACCAATTATCGAATTCATACTGGCAATAAAAAGTGTTTTGCTAATTACATCAGCACACATACCCTTAAATTTTCATCAGAAGTGGGTCTCAAATCACAATCAACATGGCAATAGTGTTAGCTTCACATCCCCTCACTGACAATTATCAACCTATTGGATAATAGTTATTTCGACTACCACATTGATAGATTACTACTGAACATATGATTCTATCAAATCTAATTTTCGGATTAGCCATTTCGGATCATCAAATTAGCAATAAATAATCATCGATAAAATTTATTTAAATCTAACTTATCCCAATGATATCCATCCGTTTCATCCAAACGCTATTTCAGGTATATGTTCACTGCGACTTTGCAATGTAACATTATAACTTCATCTTGACAAAATGAAACTATCATGATCATTTCATACGTCTTAAATATAATAAACGTTCTAAACTATCTATACTGTTTTGTTTGATTGGAATTTGACTTTCAACTTGCTTAAGATGCGAGGCGAATTGTAATGAACTAAGAAAGATCAAGTTTAGACAATATAGAATGAAGCATCCATGCAAGTTAGGATGTGGTAAGGTACTAATACACATGAATAGTTTGATAACTACTATAACACACAAACAATCAGTCTCCTTTAACTATCAATAAAATGCTTCACAAAATGAATGTAAATGGTATCGAACAAATACACCAACACAATTACCACTGATCTAAAGAAATAGCATTGAAGGATTATTGGACGAAAGTCAAATGAAACGTCTGTGTCTGTACTTGATTCAGTTTAGATATTAATTATACTAAGTTTTCTTTCGGTCTACGTGTACGCTGACTTGTACTTCAGATTAGACGATAGTAAGGCCTACGTAACGCGAACCACCTAAGCCACTTCAGAGAACTGATTTAGTATCTACTACCTAGTGACCTACACTAAAGCTTTGTATTACTGACTCGATAGTTAAACCATAATCCTATTCATATGGCTATGAAATGTAGCCTTCAAAAACAGAGAACACTCATAGGTTACCAGAACTTGATTATAAGTTTTTTTTTTAAACACTTTGACCAACGAGTGAGTAATGTTGTAATTGGAAGCAGGATACTAAGTTATGATAATTAATTGGTTGATGAGTCAATGAATTTTCATCGACTGACGTGGTTGAGAAAGGTAGTACGAATGTGCAACTTCGACCGTTATGGAGATAAGTTAGAAGAAAACTATGGGCAGCTAAAATAAGATACAGCATCAGTTTTTGGAGTTATTCACTGTTGGTATGTGTAGACTAACTGGTTGTGGTCTGCGTGATAACCGCGACCAATCGTCGGAAAAATCATATGACACGACTGAAAATTGGTCACAATGGTTCATATACATTCGCTCTTTGACTTCTAGATTATTTTATTCGGAATATCTATTATTTCTTCTTGATTCAGCTTTACCATCACTCAAACTATAACTTCGATTACTTCAATATTCAATTTAAGGTTCTAATGTTTTATTTATTTAAACATAAATATTGATACAAGAAAGAACCAGATACATATGCACCTCGCAAATCTCATTTGATTTGTGAGGGCTGTGTTACTGCCTTGGTGCTCAAACAGAAACAGGTGGTTTTCTTAGGCGGCCTGTAATATCCACTGGTGAATTATGAATGGTAACTCTAAGGACTATTTATCGACCAATGTATTATGCCAATTTCCTATTGTACAATTATTACGTAACTAAACGATTCATATTCGTGTTTCCTTTTATCATTAGCTTTATTTTGATCTTTGATTTATTATCATACGATTCTTGAGTTATAATCAGTTTATTGATTACTTTGGTTTGTATAAAAACCCAGTATGTTTGTAAATAATGATTCATATTGCCGAGGCTGTTATTTGTGCTCTGGACTTAACGGACTGGGCTAGGCAGATCGCACGACCGGTTAGCACTCTAGTCTGCTCATACGGCTTTCGTGTCACTGTTCCAACCGATAATTCGCTGCTTCCTAATTGGCGGTCTCATCAAGTCATACATCAACTAGGCATCCACTCGGCCACAAGCATATCAGGGCCATACCCGGAGCCTTTGGCCTAAAGGTCTGATCCACAAGGTAGTGGATCAACGCCAGGAGATGCAGACCCATGAAAGCCGGTGACCAAAGATTGATTCATACGTCATTTGTTCCTTCAAGGATACTGGAGCCAGCCCATGTGCAGCATTGGTTTGGAATCAGGGTTTTCCAACTACCCTAGGTGGACTCGCCGTGTCCGCCAGCCCGGTTAAAGCACCGGATATTGGCTTTTCGTCCTCTCAATTTCGTAAACAACAGTAATGCCACGAGAAGGCAGTGAGTAGGACTTCCCTGACAGAGGCTGCAGAAGCGTGGCCATGTGAGAGCACTCTCGGCCGTACCACGGCATTCGGGGGTAATGAGAACTTGAACCGAATTATATTGATTGATAAGTTACTTTCTCATGTTGTCTATGCCTACTTGATACATATTTACAAGTACTATATCGATGTTTATCAAAGTGAAATGCCCCGGAAACAATTTTAAAAAAATCATAGAATAAACAAAACTATTCATGAAAAACTTCTTTTGTAAAAAAAAAGTATCAGACAATCATTGTCTAAACAATTGTTTCTCATTGATTCCTTCATGAAGAGTTCGTAAAAATAATAGTTAAAATGTGGAAAAAAAGCCGTGGAGTCTTTTTTTAATTTAAAAAAAACAGTAACCCCCCCCCTCACGGGTATGGTTTTCTGAACTGAGAAAAGGAAACCTGTCTAATCAATTAATATATATATAATGTAAAAAAAACAGTAAAAGACGATTTGAACTAAGTATAATCAATACAGAGGAATAAGAAATACCATACTACCATATAATGTAGGGGAAAAATCTAAACATTTGTACATAATCTAAACTACTAACAAAACTATTCAGTAGTATTACTTCTGATAGTAAGTATATAAAATAAAATTGATTATACATGATGATTGGTGACTTGATGTCAATGGACAATGTAAGTTCTGTTGTTAATTGTATATATATATACCAAAGGTGAATCAAACCATCGGTGGAAATGTAGTGGTGTGAATAACTTCATTATGAAGCCTTGTTAACATAGAAAAAAGAGAATGACAATAACCGAAACAAACAACTGAAATGCATTTTAATGATAACGATAACATGACTATGTTAATGTAGGCTATTTGTTATTGGTGACCGCTGTCGATGTGGATGATGTACTTGCCGTGATGATGTTAGTGGTGATGGTAGTGTTGATTGTTGTTTTCATTGCAACATGTTCGAAACGACCTAATTGCAATGGAATAGAACATCCAGTTTCCAAGCTATTATCATCAAGATTATTATTATTTTGAGTAGTGTATGAGTTCACTGTTACTTCATCCGTGGAATATGGATGCCATACAGTTCCCCATTGAGATGGCTTACGTACAGCTCGTTTTCTATTGGCATTATTTAAAAGATCAGGATCAACTTCTTTCATTATTCTGTGTAAAAAAGAAAGGTAATTAAGAAATCGATGATCATAGATAAGAGAAAAGTTAGCGAGAAATCGGGTTGATGAATAAGGTGGAACAATAGCTTACTTAGTACTGGGAAAAACACGATTTTTAACAAATCCCAAGTTTGAAATACTTCTAAACCTAATTTCATCTACATAGTTGGTTATTATTCACACTAACCTTCGCATATAACTAACGAAAACAAAAGAACTGAATCAAAAAAGATTTGAATCAGATATTTGTGAACGGCTGTAGCTATCAATTCAAGCTTGGTCTTTGTATAAAATATACATATCTAATCCATTATATTTCACAGTAGTCTTTATCATCCCTTCTAATTTTTCAAGTACCAATTATACTAGCAATCTTCATCTTCTTTTTGTATTTGTCAAATGGACATATATGTTTAACATTTATTCTATAAATTATTACCTCGTATTACAGATAAAACAGCCCACAAATGCCCTGGTACGGTTGAGAGCGAGGAGAGTCCGCTCTCCCTCTCCAAATGCTCTCACATGAACACGCGTATATAGCCCCTGTCAGATAAGTCCTACTCACTGCCTTCTCACACCACGGGCGTTGTTTACGAAATTGAGAGGATGAAAAGCGAATGTCCTGCGCTTTAACCGGGTTGGTGGAAACAGAAAGTCCACCTAGAGGAGTTGAAAAACCAATGGTGCACATCTGCTCCAGTATCCTGAGGGAACAAATGACATATGAATCAATCGATGGTCACCGGCTACCATGAGATTGCATCTCCTTAAGATGCTCCACTGCCTTGTATATCAGATCTTTAGGTCAGGGGTTCCGGGTGTGGCCCCCCAAGAAAACCACCTGCTTCGGTTTGGGCACCTACAGTATCACAGCCCTCACACAAATCAAATGAGAATTGTGTAGCGCATATATATATCATTAAACTGATTTCCATGTGTTAAAAAGTAAGGCATTCAAAACTGAGAACATAAACCTACACTCTGTATACATTTTTATTCAACTTAAAATGACAACAAAGTGAAAATATCAAGATTTAATCTCTTATTTTCAAGGAATTAAGATAAAAGTAGATATCTTCAGTATTATCAAAGAATCACCATTAAGAAATTTACCGCCCTCAACACAGAAACACAGCTAAACACATACATATACATATAGATAAACATAATTTATGTTGGACGTTTTTAGTAGGGGGAAAATAAATAAGAAGTGGGGTTTTTCATAAGTATGAACAATTACTTGTGCTGTGATTCATTCAAATCTTCTGGCCAATCCGATGTACACATTGTATCCAGTTTAGTTTTCCATATGCAACTTGATTCATCTTCAATTTGATTATTCGTTGGATCGAATATTGGTGGTGGATAAGCGATAAAAGGAACATTGGCTAATGAAAAACGATAATCGTCATATTCAATTGGTTTATAAGCAGTAAGAACCGCTTCACGTGCTGCTTCCGCTTTACGACGTTCAACAAGATTTAGAAAGTCTGGACTGGATAAACTTTCAGGCGGTTGATGTAAAGAAGCAGCTAACATTTGTAAGCCAACTGATTCAGCAGCTGTTTTACCAATTCCAGCTAAATTGCTACCATACAGTGTACTAGTAGGATCATCGAAAATCATCAGTGAATAATTTACTGGGATCGTAGTTTGCAGTGTATTTGTAGGCCACAAACTTTCTGGAAATGGAGAAGCGAATTCTGTAGGTAACGGTGATGTATTGAATTGGCATAAATTTATGTCATGAATATATAAATGTAGTTGTCCAGCTTCAGTGGCGAAAACGACACAATTCCCACTAAATAATAAGGAAAATGAAATGATACAATGAATGCAACGTATTTCTGAACAATGTCTCTCTGCATACATGCCAATAAGAGACTGATCAATTGCAGTCCTAAACATCAATGGGAAGATTCAAACAAACAATACCAAGTGAATTTAAACTTCACCCCATTGCACAAGCTAGTGGCTATCAGGGGTCAGTAGCTAAGTGGATAATGTGATGGCGTTTGAAGAGAACGGTACAGGGTTCGGGTCCCAGAGTGGATATCAACTCTAAGGTGTAGGTACATCCAGCTGAAAAGTCCCGAATAGGACGAAACGCGCGTCCTGAAGTCCATTGCTAGCCACTATCCATCTTTGCTTATAATGTCTCTCACGGTTTACCAAAGGAGAAAATAAAACAATAAGCTTTGTATTCTGACGTATTTAGTCAGTATCAATCACTAGATAGGTAACAATTTAGCTCTCAAAGATATCGAAAGGATTCCATTGAACCCACCACAAAAATATACACAAATAAACCTGATCTTTGTGTACATAAAACATTCGTACAACCTTTTTATTTGCGCTGGTCATCAACATAGTTAGGCTTTTTCAGTCTCAACTTTTAATTTCTTCTTCTTACATAATTTGTACTAATATATAATATATATACTTTTACAAACACTAACATACTACTATTCTGCTGCTCAACCCCGAGCTTCCCGACCGTTGCTGCTAACTTGATGTAGTGGTCGGGCTTGTCTATCATGATGAACCTATCGAGTTATACTGGCTGGTACAATCGTTCCTCAAGGCCCTACCATGCCAGACAGGTCGGCTGAAGAGCGGTAAGACTAAAAGCAGCAAACCCAAGGTCCGAAGGCGAAGTCGTACTGCTGACTGTGAAGTGGTGTGAGGATATTAAGGTGTTTCCTTCAGACAACCAGCATAACAGCGATGCTGTTGATCTCGTTGTGCTAATGAGGTGTACCAACTTGGACCGATGAATATACGTGCCCGATCCTAAGTTGTAGATGACTGACGGACTGTTTGGTATCGACTTTACATTTTAATGGTTTTGCAATGAGCCACCACCCCACTCCACTTCACTTACAAACCTTCAATGCCAATGGGATTGAATGTGTTGTTAAGGTTAAATGGTTTATCTTAGCCTTCAACAGTTACTGACTAAGTGCAAAATATTAACATGGATTCGTTAACCCTTTTGATGGGGAAGAAGCTAAACGACTAAAAATACATGTGAAACCGCATTCTTTTATATTACATTCTACGACAGCGTTGTAAGAATCCCTACTGGACCAAGATATCATAATCTCTAGTATAATAAAATTACGATTGTACAAGCTACCTACTAATTTTGAGATGTCTGAAACCGGATCATTTAACACCGCACAACCCAATCAAAGAGATATCAAAGCTACAAGTACGCTAACATTTTTGATGTACAAACACATGACGTTGTGCATCTTTTTTGAGGGCAACTTAAAGAGTAATAAAGTGATGTATAGTCATCTTTCATTTTTGGAATAAGTAAATTTAAGACCACAGAACCAACATTGAAGATTGTCTTGAGTTGCATTGAATGAAGTAAATATTTTTTGGTCGTAAAAACACTAATAAATGGAAAAAAAATGACAGAAACCTACTTTTGTGATAAATCTGTGGCAACTAGTCGGTCGTAACCTAACCACAATTGACCTAAATCATTGGGGGAAAACGCAATTTTACCCCACTGTATAGTTTGAAAAGCACCAGTTTGTGAAGTAGCCAATAAACTATCACTGCAACCAGGTATAAATCGAACAAAACATGGATCTAGTGATGAAGAGAGTGGGACTTGAGCACGACCCGACCGAAGATCATATACCTAGATACACATATGTGTAATATAATGCAATAATATCGATAACTACAAAGAGCTACATAGCAACAGTAATAAAATAAGATAAAAAGAGGACAAACCACCTCTGTTAGTCAGATGATGATACAAACCTTAATTCGATTTAAGGAATAAGAAGCATTAATTTCGAATCGCACTGACTTTGAGGGACAGTATTTTTAGTTATGAAAAATCATTGATTGCGATTTTCCATTAAAGTTGGCAGTGGAAACCAGAACGCACGTCTCGGCGAGACTATAATTTATGGACGGACCAATCAGGTATAAAATAATAGGTCTCGGATTTTGGCGCGAAATCAACTCATCTATTTGGATAAATAGAGTTTTGGCATTATAGCTGATGTCAGTTCATGATAAAAACCCTAAGCCTAATTCCTAACTTTGACGATCAACTGTAAATCATAATTGTAATTCCTCATACTGCTTTATAACCCTCATTTGGTCCTAGTTATTATGTTGACACTCCCGAGGTCACTCTAGAGTCCCTCAAAGGTCATCCATAAATTATAGTCTCACCCACGTCTCTTTCTATTCAAGACGCATCACCTGGATGGGCTTACATCTCAGTACTGTTAATGTTCACCATGAAAATCGAAATCAGTACGTAATTATATGAAACGAGTGGACTGAACTCCGCTGAAAATGAAAACATGTGACTAGTTGGTAGTATATAGTCAATAAACTCAGGATGTACATATCACAATAAATATTGATCAACTTCAATCATTTGCACCAATAATGAGAAAACAACCTTTTCAAACTGAATGCGACTGTTTGGCGGGGCCTCAAAGACTTCACCCTCCTATACAATTTAAATCAAAGGATAAGAATTTTACGGACTGATGGTATGTTACAATTTTAAACAATTTAGCATTCATTCAAGTGATTTTTGTAGGTCAACCAGCATAATGTGTTGTCTACCTCCAGATGAAAGAAATTAGAAAAGATCGGCTCTGTAAGACAACACACCAGACTATGGTGGCTCTGAGTTCATGATGCTGGCAATAAGTATAGAAAAACACAGAGTCAATACAACAGAAACTACTCTAACGGAAAATTTATGCTTGACTAATCTTAGGCGGCAGCAACATTCTGAGGTTTGAAACCAAACTCCCATCTACATAGTACATTCAATACTTATTGTTCACTTTACAGGTTTTTCAACAAGAAATATTCTTCCACAACGTTATCGAACAGGGAATGTTAACAACTCGTACAATTCTTACTACACTCGAATGCATCTTGTTTATAACCAAATTGCAGAACTTCAATGAAATACTTCGAAATAGAATTAACGGTGATTCATTATGGTAATAATCAATTTTGTATAAAATCAAATCAAATTAAAATGAGAAATTTAATGAAAATAAAGATCATACTCTTAACAAGCGGTCCACACGTAATCCAGAATCACCGACACGTGACCATCCACAAGTGACCAATGTATGACTATTCGCATCAACTGTCATATCAGAGATTTCACCAGTATGTGCATCTAATTCACGTACAATACCATGACTGGTTCGTGAATCGATTATCATAACCTAAAGAGTATAATGCGAAGAGGAAAAAAGCGTCGGATACGAAGTTTAGTTACAAAAAATGACAAACAATTTTCAATGGATCGTAACGACTATACTATTGAGATTGTTTACAGTAGTCAACTTGCGAAAGAAATGCATATTTAACTAAATCATTTCCGCTCCTAAAGTCACGATTTGATGGAAAGAGTTGAAAAAAAGGGAAATATAAATCTCCGATAGTTATTGTGTGGTGGATTCACCGGTACACTTTTAAAGACTATTTATCAAATAATTGTTTCATAATACAATTATGACGCCAATGAAGAAATGAATTCAACGTAAGTATACATACATATAGACAAAATGAAGGGAAACCTACTTTTCCATTTGTATTTCCAGCGCATAAGCCACCACTGAATGGTCGAAGCACTACAGACCCACCAATCCCAACATCTATTGTATTGATTACTTCGCCCCAACGTTCTACAGCATCTACTTCTAGTAGGGTTGGTTGAAGACCACCCAAGAAAAATCGTGCAAAATTCCCCAGACCATTACCAGCTCCTCTAATACCGGACCCACTCATCAAGGTACCAGTAGGACCAGTTACAGCTAAACATTCTAACTCCAGCATGGATTTATGTCTAAAAAGGAAATTATTATCCATAAACAACATAAGTGGGGAATAAAATATTTCACCGTCATACGTAGCAGTTTATCCAGTTAGTAAATATTGATTATTGTGTTTAGCAATGAAAACCCAGTAAGTAAGTAAATACACTCACATAAAAACAGTTGACTAGTCTCCCACTCGTCTTAAACACACGATTCAGATGGTGGGGGAAACATTGAAGTCCTTATAGGTGATGCAATCGTTTGATTTCGGCTTATCCAATAATAATTCAATGCCACCCCACACTGTTACTTGTTTAAAAGCTCTAACTAGTAGCAGCATTGATCTACAAATGCTGAACCAAAGATGATAATTGCCCTGAATTTGAAATGGGAATATAGAGAAAACAATGATGAATAAAACATTTTATAAAAATGTCCCATCATTATGTGGCTAACACAAATTATAGAGGAGTTAACTAATTGTTATAAATTTGTGAAATAATAATTAGTTACAGATCCTGACTTCATCTATCTAATTTAAAACTACTGATTCAACTATTTATTGTTAAAGTAGTGATTATAAACCTTTTTTAATAATCCTTAGTGCTGATTACAATAGTTAGTTGGACGATTAAAATCAAGATGTGACATGAATCCTTTAGTTTAACCTATATTGGAAGATGTAAACAAAATAGTTGAACGGTCTGTGCGATTATTGTCATCAATGATTGGTTACTTACTGTGACATAGCACAAAGTCAGTTGCACAGAGCTTGAAACATTAATTCTTTATATTTGTATATACATCTTAAGTTTCTATGTTATTCCATGCATTTTTCATAAACTTATTTCTTCTTTCTAAACCATAATTCTAATCTTTCTTAATATCATTAACCCTACAAGTATTTTGACTCTTTTGTTATTAACAGAGTAAATTCCACTTCACTTTAATGATTTTATGAGATAACCTGTGCTGATTGATATATTTGCAAAGTTTTACGTTGGTTGTAATAGATGGAAAGATTGATAGTTGATTTCTAAAGAGGTACAAAAGAGGGATAAAATCCTTAAAGTTTATTTACCGAATGATGGAAGGAATTTATCTTAAGGATACCTATCTTTTCCTATAATTATCAATCTAACTGTACTACTAATTATATGTGTTAACAACTTTTAAAAAAAATTTCATCTCAACAACAATTCATGTGTTTCTTTTATAATGGCTCATTCGACAATGATAATATGAAATACAATAAATACAATAAATATGGGCTAGCAATCAGTTGTCACTGATTATTTCGCTTAATACAAAATTTGACAATCTCATATATTATCAGAAGGGTTTTTTGTGGAGATTTAGTTCAGTGGTCTATCGGTTAAGTGCTATGGCGCGAGACTGGTAGGTCCTGGGTTCGAATCTCTCAAGACAAGATCGTGGATGCGCACTGCTTAGGAGTCTCACAATAGGACGAAACGGCCGTCCAGTGCTTCCAGGTTTTACCTGGTTGTCTAGCTTCAACTGACTCATGCTTTCAGCCATGAGAATCTCATATATATTTTACAATTATTATAGGAGTGAACGCTCTGATATATGTGTAGACATGACTAATATTTTTGCGGTTGAAATCACAAGTCGATATAAGCTTGAACACCAATGAAAACCTGTAATCATTGGACGGCCATTTTTCCTGGTATGGGACTCCTCAGGAGTGAGTACTTACGATTATACACACGGGACTCGAACCCAGAACCTTCAGTTTCACGAGCGAACGCTTAACCTCTAGACCACTGAGCCGGCATCCGAAGGTGTTAATGTCTAACTCTAATCAATCCATAATCTTGCTCAGTCTTTCCCCATTGCCCGAGGTGGATAACTGTCCTACACCCGAGGAGTCCCATACTAAAACAAAACGGCCGTCCAGTGTTTCCAGGTTTTTAATGGTAGTCTAACTTAGATCAACTCGTGAATTCAACTGTGAAAATACTACAATCTCCACAAATCTCCATGCTGATATTGTGGTGTGTGCTACTTATGTCGACATAAGTAGTATATAACGTGAGTCAGGAATAGAATATCTGGCAGAAGAAGGTCGAGAAGGAAAGAACAGGTACAGAAAGCGGGTGGTATGAAAATAAAATAGCAGTGAAGTCTGAGACGACTGATTGACATTTGCAAAGGAACAGTCAAGTTTGAAACAATTGACTGGTATTTTGCAAATTAAGCATTTGTTATTCAGCTCTCACATTTGACTAAGGGATTCTGTAATGTCGTGTTCAAATGCATTCGATTGTCCCCACTGGTGTGTTCTGTTCACTACAATATGACTGATATCTACTAACCAATATAGACTTCCATATCATGATGATCCAATCGAACTCTATTATAATTGGAACATTTGTTTCGTTAGGTCCTAATCATACCCAATCAGGTTGGTTGGGAAGCAGTAAGACTAAAAGCGTCAAGCTTACTGTCCGACGGTAAAGTCAAACTGTTGTCTCCCACTGTAACTAATATCTGCAGATGCGCTGTCCTCAAATAACCCAAGGCAAGGTCAGTTCTGAAAATAGCACATCTCACGTTGCCCAACAGATTTCCATTTGTGGTAATAATACTGCTTCCAAAACTGCTAACAGAAAAATTGTGACCGGGTTCGAACAGTTGTCCCTTGGGGTCTGTGATCACGCTCCCAGGTTGTCAAGACCACTCCTCCTAACATAGTTTCCTTCCCAGGTACTTCAAGGAAAAGCATCCTTCCTGTGTGGGCAACTAGGAAGTGCAGCTTCCTTTTATTATTAATAGTATTGCAGACTTATTGCATGTTAGAGTCCGAACCAAGTTTGATTTTCGTAAAGATTTCGGTCGATCAGACCACATTAACAAAACTTTGAACATTTGTTCAGATCTATGAAAACAAACTTGAAAAACTTGTTTTGCGCTGGACGCCTTAGGCGCTAAGTCTGAAAATCATGAATCCGATTATCACTGAAGTACTAATGAATGCTTTACTGCATTTTTGAAGACAGAAAGAAAATATAAAAATGAAATAAACCAAAAACCTAAAAATACAATTCAATCCTATGACTAAAAATACAGGTTCATGTAATCAAGATTACAATAAAATATTGATTATAATTCAATTAAACTTACACAACAGAAGCTAATGGTCTACCCATTTTTGTATAAGCATGTAAAGCATTATTAGCCAAAACAAAAACAGAATGTTCTATCGGACGAGGCGAAGGAAAGACTTGTTTTAACCCAGTATATGGTGTGGCAGTTTCAAGTGAATTCACATCCGAAATCAATGGTACAGTAAGTGTTATATAACGTTCCATGGTAGTTGAATAGAATGCACTCATTTGACCCTGAAAAGTATTCACAAAAAAATGTACAATAATTCTAGGTGAATTTTAAAAAAAAACATTATTTGAAAGACCAACAGATTATATATATTAATAAATGGGTAGGTTTTCTTTTTGGAATTAAGACTACTAACTTACTGTACGTGTCACACACCAGATTAATTCTTCTAGAGGATCAAAAGCCACATCTGCAATCCTATCAGTTTGAAATAAACAATCCATCATTTGTGTTCCAATATGCCAATAACCACCGGTTTGATAATATTCTGCTCCAGTCAATGTTGGATCATACTGTGCTTCAGCAGGTAAAGTAAGACTGGAATCACCACCATCATCCTCATTGCCAGGTGATATATGTTCATCACATGGATGTGGATGATCAGATGAATCGGTCTCAGTTGTAAACGACATAATCGGTTTGTGTGGAAATTTTACTGAAAAGATAAATCAGAAAAACCAATATACATGTGAACGCTATTTATAAGGTAAAAATGAGCTTTCAATGAGTAAGCAGTGGGTTTTAATATCATACCTTAATTACTTCAGCCTCGGTAGCTGCGTATTGTTAACCACCATTATCAAACAACTACAGTGTAGTTCAAAGTCAAACAAACATATAATTCATACCAGTGACATGATATACAAAATTCTAATGTAACAAATTTCTTCCTAAAAATTACACCTTTAGGATGACTGAATTGTGTACACCAAATGCCCTGGTACGGTCGAGAGTGGGGAGAGTCCGCTCTCCCTCTCCAAATGCTCTCACATGGCCACGCGTATATAGCCTCTGTCAGAGAAGTCCTACTCACTGCCTTCATGCAGTGGGGTTGTTGTTTACGGAATTGAAAGTACGAAAAGCGAATGTCCGGTGCTTTAACTGGGTTGGTGGACATGGAAAGTTCACCTAGGGGAGTTGGAAAACCCTCATTCCAAACCAACATTGCACATCGGCTCCAGTATGCTGAGGGAACAAATGGCGTATGAACCAATCGTTGGTCACCGGCTACCATGGGACTGCATCTACTCACGATGCTACACCACCTAGTGGATCAGACCTTTAGGTCAAAGACTCCGGGTGTGGACCTCTAAGAAAACCACCTCCTTCAGTTTGGGCACCTGGGCAGTATCACAGCCCTCACACAAACCAAATGAGATTTATGTGGCGCATATGTATCTAATGCTTCCTTGTACCGATATTTATATGTTTAAATAAAATAAATTCAACAAGACGACCAATATTCAAAACCCGTTTACATTATAATAGTTTAGTGCCTAAACCCATGAAGTGAAGTGAATAATTATTATCAAAAAGTACACAAGAACCATCTGATTGTATTGAAGTGTTACATCAGTCAGTCAGTTAGTTACAACGTAGGACCAAGCACATATATGCATCGGTTCAAGTTGCCATACCTCGTTAGCATAACAAGATCAACACCGGATTCATAGTAGTTAATTTAGTGGTGGTAGTAGTATATAAATTATAGGTTGTATATAATGATATAGTACAGGAAGGAAGGTATGAAGCAATTTTAGTCTCAAGGTTTAAAGGAAGATAAAGAGTGTATACGCCTACGCCATTGTGATCGATTCTGAGCTATGTCACACACAGTCTCCAACCACTGGTTACGATAGTCACGCGGACCCCAACCAGGTAGTCTGCATCTGCCAACATGGCTCACACTAGAATTTAGTGACTTCAAGCACTGATGCCATGTTTTGGTTTGGCCGCCCCTAACTCTCTTCCAACCATCCCCTACACTAGTCAGCATTGCGCGTCGTGGTAATCGGTGTTCAGGCATACGTAACACATGGCCCAACCATCTCAGTCGATGAAGATTCATCACCTCATCAATTGATTTACCATCGTTCCCTAATACCCTGTGTCTAACCTCACTATTATTTACCCGGTGATCCCAGCAGATGCGAGCGATATTTCTAAAGCATCTGTGGTCAAATACTAGTAACTTACGAGTATCTTCTACTCTTAATGGCCATGTTTCACAGCCGTGTAGAACAGAACGAACTGCTGCGCAGTATACTCGTCCTTTAATTGATAGACGGATATCTCGTTTTCGCCATAGGTGACGTAAGTTGGCAAAAGCCAAACGAGCTTTCTGAATCCGTGCAGGGATTTCCTGAGACACCAACCCATTAGGGCTGATCAGACTTCCAAGATAAGTGAAGTTGTCAACGCGTTCGACTACTTCACTCCCTATCCTTAATTCAGGTGTTGATGCAGGCCAGTCCTGGAGTAACAATTTACATTTACATGGGGATAAACGCATCCCAAACATCCTGGCATTATTACTCAGTTCTAACAGAAGACTCTGCATTTTGCCAGCGTCTTTATCAAACAGGGCTATGTCATCTGCGTATTCTAAGTTGGTCAGTGGACCTCCTGGTAGGAGATCAATTCCTGAAAACTCAGTCGAAGAGTGTTATTTCCAGCAATATGTCTATAATGAAGTTAAACAAAAATGGGGATAGTGGACATCCTTGTCGGACACCGCTTGAGGTTGTTAAATCAGATGACAGTTCGCCATAAGCTCTCATTCGACTGGTAGTGTTCGAGTAAAGAGCCTTCACAAGGTTTATGTACTTCTCAGGTACACCTATTAATGACAGACACTGCCACAGAACCTCTCGGTCTACAGAGTCGAATGCTGCTTTCAAGTCAAGAAAAACTAACATTGTCGGACGCCGATAAATATGTCTGTGCTCTAAAACCTGACGAATAGTGAATATGTGGTTGATGCAGCCACGACCAGGTCTGAAGCCAGCCTGATTTTCTCGTGTTTGCAGTTCACGAGTCTACAAATTATCATTTACAATTGGTTAAAAAGTCGATAACTGCATGCGGAAAAAAAAATTACTAAACACCAAGAACGAATTTTATTGAATTGACTATAAGTAAACAAAACACTTATAATGAAAAAGGGTATTATATTTACTAAATTAATCAAACCAGACAATGATATACTCTATTTATAAAATAATTTAAACAAACAACTACAGTATGGTAACCACTAGCAACAAACTCTACAGATATAACTATTCGACAAAATAACAACACAAACAACAGAAACGATATTATTTACAAACAAAATCACTAACATTGTTGATATTGGGTAAACCTCAAGTATACACCTGAGTGACCTTCAGGTGGCAATCGTTTCGGTCAATCAGAAAACTTCAAAGGCAATTGAATGACTTATCAAGCTAGGAACTAGGATTATGATATGATTTCTGAATTATAGCTGATAACAGTTAATAATGAAAACTCTAATCTTAACATTCAATTTTAACTCCTAACATAGGTCTTTCTACAAGTCAATTCCCGAATTTGTAGGCATCAATGCCAAAATTAAACTTGATAGCTTCAAATAAATTGAGCATTTTATTTACTTGACTTTAGGCTGAATGTTTCTTAATTTGAAGACTGATGATGCTATCGGGTTCCCTAAACTTAAATAGATGGAGTTAGAAGTCAAGCTTGCTAACCACCGTTTATAATGCACCCTTTCATGTAAACTGTATTAACAACCTGAAACCGAAACATAGTGTACACGATATAGAATCATCTAGACTGGTGTGATCACAATGCACTATGATCGGCAGAATTTAATCAACATCAAAGAGGACTAGTGCAAAAAAACAATTTACTAAACAAAACACTTTCGTGCTGATGTGATCTTGGGGAGTGGCCCACCAAGAAAACCATCTGCTTCGGTTTGGGCGTCCGGGCAGTATCCCAGTGCTCACACAAACCAACTGATTTGTGTGACACATATATATTTGGTGCCTTCTTGTACCAATATTTATGTTTAAATAGAAATAAATAAATAAAATGTTATCTAGTCAACTAATCTGTACCGATAGTTAATGTATTCGACCTTCAGTCACTAAGTCACAGGTCCGAACTCACCCCCAAGCTTTATGGTTTGAGCAACCGAGTAGTACCACTACCTACCACACTTTGACTGTGACTAAAAGCTAATTATATAAATCTGTACGTGATTGACAAGTTAGTAATAAAAACAGGTAACCAACGTCATGTTTTCCTCGTCCTAGGTGTACTACGATGTTGAGCCACGTGAACGGTGGAAAATGATCAGTAAAATGGATTAGAAATAACACGATATTCTCAATTAATGTTCAGTCATAATATACACACATGTACATTCACAACAGTCTACAAGTAAGCGAAGTAACGATACTACAATCAGAAAGAATAATGGAATTAATATGAGAATTTATTTCAACAAAAATGTACAAATCAATAAGTATGCTTATTTCTTCTCCTTTGTCTTCCATAATAGTAGGCAAATTTAAAAATCTAACTGATTTTCACGTATTTTGGAACATGTAAGAACTGTTTCCGGTGCATTGGATCTATTTACTGTATCGGATAGAGAAGGTGGTAAGTGAAAATGCTGTGGAATGATGAAAAAGAAAAAGGATTAGAAGAGAGAAAAAAGTGAAGACAATTTGATTAGTTTATATTGTCCTAGGGAAAAATTATGCCGTTATCCAAAATTGGGAATAATGGTTTGGTTTGTTAAAACACTCGGATTGTTTTATAGATAGAGATCTTAGTTAACGATAGTTTTATTGTATTCTAAATTGACTGACAAACCTCGTCGAATCCGGTTATGATAGGATCACGATCGCTCGATCTCACTATTTCATATGCGACTGTAAGTGACTGATTCTTTGTTTAACTAAATCGAATTTTAATGGGATGAATTTGACTTTGAAGAATTTATGAATGCCTAAAATGACTAGTAATTTGATTGAATTTTTTTGGTTTCAATAGTTTTCATCAAAGAAAAAGAGGAAAACCAAACTGAATTGATTGACATCCACTACAGAAAATCATACTACCATATCGTCGTCAGTCGTCATCTACAACGTTGGACCAGGCACATACATGCATCGGTCCAAGTTGGTACACCTCATTAGCACAACAAGATCAACACCAAATTCATAGAAGTAGTTACTTCAATTGTAGTAATATATGAAAGAAAGACTGTGTATAAGGATAGAAAAAAAAGGTAAAAAGTCTGCATCTACCAACATGGCTCAGATTAGAAGTTAGTGACTTCAAGAACTGATAACACGCTTTAATTTGGCCGCCCCTAACTTTCTTCCATCCGTTTCCAGCATTAGTCAGTAATGAGTGCTGAGGTAGTCGGTGGTTGGGCATGAATAATACGTGGCCCAACCATTTTAGTCGATGAAGATTTACAACCTCATCAACTGATTTACCATCATTCCCTAATACTCTGCATTTAACCTCACTATTACTTACCCGATGATCCCAGAAGATGCGAGCAGTATTTCTAAGACATCTGTGATCAAATACTGGTAACTCACGAATATCCTCTACTCCTAATGATCACGTTTCGCAACCGTAAAGTAAGACAGAACGAACTGCTGAGCAGTTTACTCGTCCTTTTATTGATAGATGGGTATTTCGCCTTCGTCATAGGTGACGTAAGTTGGCAAAAGCCAAATTAGCTTTCTGGCTCATTCCGATCACACATCAACATTAATCCCAAGAAAGTAAATGAAAGTAAAACTGGTAGCTCGGCTTCTTGCTTACTAATTGATAGGTAAGAAGTATTGTCCTAGCAAATTGTTGTAGATTTCGTTAATTTATTTTAGCTCCATCCAGTCAGTAAAAACTTGAAGAAACACAATTCTGTTTAGAAAGAGAACACCTTGAATAGGAGAACAAGCTTATATGGCACTTTTGCTATACAGAATTTTGAACAGACAGAAATTTTACGCTTTCACTAATCAGTTAAACTGTCGTTGTAATTGAACTATCGTCTTCTAAAACATTATATAATAATCCTTATTGAGCAGTTTACAAATCAATATAACTTAAAAAGAAGAGTTCTACGCCATGTACTCTTCCTTGAAATGACTTTTCTGTGTGTCTTTGAAAAACTGTATAGACGTATAAATAAAAGTAACTTTCACCTGAACAACTAGCTGATGTCGCTTTATCTTGAAACACCATTCAAGTGTAGCTGATCTGAAAGCCGGTTCAAGTGTATTTCCACTGATTAACCAAGGAATGTGAATAACTGTGAGTAGACCATCATATTCTGAATACACTGGATTCGCTTGTATCTGATCACGCAGACCTTGTACTCGAAACACATAATCACAGTAATGAGATAGACGAGTCAATAGACCAGGCGGTAGCTAAACAATGAACAAGTTAAATATATAAAACACAAATTAACATGAAGTCAGTTGAATATGATCGAATTTTTCTATAATTTCTATAATTTACTAACACAAATAATGGACGCATATGAGTTACTGATTGTGGTACAAATCATAGTTTTCAACAGATAGTTTTCAGCATTTTAACAGTTTCATTCAAGTAATCTGACTTCTTTTTATATGACTAAGACCAATATTCAATAATTTTATAGAGGAGTGCCATGTTATCATCTGATTACTATCTCTTCCCGGTCGACTTGTTCATTAATCATCTCATTTCCTGAGTATGTGGTTATGTACACACACAGACAGCGCGAGAACTAATGGTACCACCCAGATCAGTCGAATGCTTTGTCTATTAAACTATCGCTTATTAATCATTACAACACTTTTCATTAAGCAGTGGCTTAGCGTACATAATACATCACACCTGCTATATTCTGTAAAAATTTATAGTCTGACTGACTCACTTATTCTTCTATTACACTAAACCTTGACATTTTTTAGCCGATGATTATACTACATACAGGGAGAGCTCGGAAATTACTGACGATCAAATATATGTCAGAAATGAGTTTAGTACCCACAGTTGATTTTATCGGTTTGCATGCAACACTATGATGACTGGTCATTGGATAGGTAAACAAATACAGAGTTAATTGGATAGTAATAAAACCAGTTGGATAAGTTTAGATGAACAAACAGTGAGAGATTTGGTGTTATTTGGGAAAATGAAATTATCGGTCCATAATTGGTGAAAATGACCTGATTTAGTAAGCACGAATCAACCCTGACGGTCAATTCTTATTTCATTGATAATTGATCCACAAAACTAATATATTTCCCAAATGCTTGTCTGTTGAGTGACATTTAATCACATTTACCTGGCATATAAGCACGTAGCCTTCCTAGGAAAACCTTATTCTGCTGTTCGGTTGCGTTGTCCATTGAAACCGATTCATTCAGGGTGTATATCTCAATAATTCGCTCACATGAGAAGTTATCATTCCGCCACATCATACTGATATTCAGAATTTTAACGATCACAAAAAGTGGACCATTATGCTAACTCATCTAAATTCATTCTCTATAACACTCATTGATTAAACATTGACAAACACTGAAAGCTTGAATATTTGTATTTTGAAAGGTGATCTAATTGAGTACAGACAAACACGGAACTTGAAAATGGTAGTCAATTTGAATAGTGATGTTAAGTGAAGATTGGGCACATGAAAAAATTTCAAAAGATTTGTTGTGTTAAGATTATTGAAATATACCGTCTGTTTCTAAGGTTTATTGCTAGAATACTAACTGATGAGTTAGAGTTACTAACTCCATAAAGCCATAAAACATAAAACTTTTGAAGAGTTAAACAGATAAATCTAAGTAGTCTATTATCTCACTTATTGTATATTTTACTTAAATGAAACAAAAATTGTTTTTCCTTGCTCAATGTAAATGATAACTCATAAGTCTACACTACATATGAGTGTTTGTTGGTAGGTCAGTGGTCATGAAAATAAACTCAGCTTGAGACAAATGTTTATTGATCTAAGTTGGCACATTTTACACAAACAGCATTTTGAGCGATTTGAGCACAAAATATTCTGATTTCACAATATGTTTTAATGGACTAGCATAGTCTGATTTGATAACTTTACTTAACGACGCCTCCATAGTAGTAAAAAGAATGTAAAATATGGAACTTCACTTAGAATATGCCGACGACATAGTTCTATTTGATGACGACGCCGACAAAATGCAGTCTTCTGACCACCGTAAGCAACAATGCAAGCATGTTCGGGATGCGATTCTCCCCCTCGAAATGCAAAATGTTAATTCAGGATTGGGTTGCATCGGCACCTAAACTAATGATAGGGAGTGAAGTAGTTGAGCATGTCGACCGCTTCATTTATCTTGGGAGTCTCATCAGCCCTTGTAGTCTGGTGTGTGACGGATACGGAAGGCTCGTCTAGCTTTCGCCAACTTGCGTCATTTATGGCGTAGGCGAGATATCCGTCTACCAACCAAAGGACAGGTTTACTGTGCAGCAGTTCGTTCCGTCCTACTTTATGGCAGTGAAACATGGCCGATAAGAGTAGAGGATATTCTTAGGCTACTAGTATTCGGTCATAAGTGTCTTCGAAGCATTTCTCGTATATCCTGGGACCACCGGGTATGTAATGCAGTTGTTAGGAAACAGGTACTAGGTAAGGATGGCAAATCAATAGATGAAGTAGTGAAACTTCATCAGTTGAGATGGCTGGGACACGTGTTACGTATGCTCAACCAACCACCGACTGCCCCGACGTGCAATGTTTTATGGTGTAGGAGTAGGTTGGAAGAAAGCTAGAGGCAGCCAGACCAAAACGTGGCACAAATTCATGAAGTCACTGACAAATGGACTGAGCCATGCTGGTAGATGTAGACTACCCGGTTGGGATTCGCGAGATGATAACAACCGATGGTTAGAGACCTTGAATGACATGGCTCAAAATCGTTCGCAATGGAGAAGGTGCATCTACTCTTTGTGTTCTGCTAAATTCTAATCTTCTGAATTCTTCATGTCTCTATGTTTTTCTCTTTCCGAATTTATTTCCTTCAATAACATCTTCAAACCCTAATCTTCCCGATTACTGCTTATACTTTTACTACTTCTACCACTAAAGGATTTGAATCGACAACTGAATCTCTGTGCTAATGTGGTATGGCAACTCGAACTGATGTACATACGTACGATGTTCTACGTTGTCGCTGACTCACTGAAAATATAAAATTCAACTCAGCCAAAAAGTGTTACATTATAACAGACAGAACAAATAATGAAGAATCTTAAGCAGAACCTCACCTTTATTGTAGGTAACGTGATGAAAACTGTACAGTGACTGTTTTGAATTAGCAGGCGTAATGTAGCAAAGAAACTAAGCATATTCCTGTAGAACTGTTGAGTATCTTTGCAATAACCCCACATAGGAGAGCCGCATGAGTTTATCACTGAGGATAAAGTATTTCGAATGCTATAAATGAATGAACAGCAAAAAACAAACCTATCCGTTGTATACCTGAAGACACTTTTGTGTTCGATCGGAAAATAATTAATTTTTGAATTAAACTGAAGAGATTAGTATGCAATCTATAACAGTGAAATGACAGACTTTAGAATTAAACAATTATTACGTTTCTTTACTATCCGGCTGGAAATAAAAAGTTGACACATTTTTCTCAGATATTCGAGCAGTTGCATTCATAGGCATGGTCACATTGAAATGATGTCCCAAACTTGACACAGATGAATTGACATTCTGGAAGTAAAGTGTCATGTAAGAATTAGAATGATGATTGAAACCTTAACGTTTGGGACATTTTGATAACGCCAAGCAATTTTAAGATCTGAAATTTCTTCTTTGATCTCATTTGTAGAAGTCATGTGATCTGGTAATTTCTAAAACATTACAGAGATATCACATTGGACTATATTTTAAATTATTCTTACAGATAGTAAACTGTCAAATGTTTCCTTTGCACCATAAAATATACTATGACCCGATAATATACCTTCAGCTACGAACAAATTTAAAAGCAGTTTTGCATATGTTTGATGAAAATCTGGCTCTTTAAATTAAAATTGAAATTAAAAACACTTCGTATACTGTACCAATAAGAATTATACTTCCTGAAGTTATACCACCACCTACAAATATTGATGATACTAGTTAGGAAAAAGCATTACCAAGTAACTCATCAAATGAAGGAATCCCAGTAGAAATTAAGAATGTAGATAACTTAAATGAACGTTTTACACCATTCATGTCACAGTAACGTGTAACCAATACTCACAATTCCGCTTTTACAATGACTTTCCAACCTGAAAAATTGAAAATGCTTATTTTAAAAAAAAACACGAAAACTTAACGTAAAGACAATCATGAAGAAATTCACATAAGTATAGGTTAAGAGGGAATGATTTCTTATCAGGGATTTGGCAGTTTTTAGCTTAATTTTATCTTGATTCGGACACTTGGAGAGTAAATTTATACAACACAATTTACTGATAGACAGGAATTTATAAAATTTGCTTCATTTCCCGAACTTCCAGTAATCAATATTAGTAGGTAGTCGATATCGGAGGTCTCAATGAATGTTTTTGGGTGACAATGGTGTTTCTTAAAAAACGTAAAAAATTGAGTTATGTTATAATTCGTGACCGCCTAGATACCCTGTTAATGTTCAACGTGATAATACAGCCAATTAGAGAGCAGTGAATTATAGACCGGACCAATGACACACGAAACCTGTACGAGCAGTCTAGAGTACTTGTCGGTCCTGCTTTCTGCCTAACCCAACTATTCAAGTCCAGAACATCAATTTCAGACTCTGTGGTGTGAATCACTTACTTCAAGCATACTGGGTTTCTATACCAAACAGACAGACCACATCGTACCATAAAATAGGAAAAACAACACTTGTACAAGATTTAGCCAAATGTGGCTGTGAATAGGGGAGATAGTAGGTGATAGACAGGGCATAATTCAAGAATGGTAAGTCGTATAACAATAGTTCATTATTTATTTATTTAAACACATAAATATTGGTACAAAGAGGCACTAGATAAATATGCGCCACACAATTCTCATTTGATTTCTGTGAGGGCTATGATACTGTTCGGGTGCCCAAACAGAAGCAGGTGGTTTGCTTAGGGGGCCACACCCCGAGCCTTCGACCTAAAGGTCTGATCCACAAGACAGTGGAGCATCATGAAGAGATGCAGTCCCCTGGTGGCGGGTCACCAAAAATTGATTTATACGCTGTTTGTTCCCTCAGGATACTGGAGCCCATGTGCACCATTGGTTTGGAATCAGAGTTTTCCAACTCCCCTAGGTTGACCCTCCGTATCCACCAACAAGGTTAAAGCGCCGGACATTCGCTTTTCGTTCTCTCAATTTCGTAAACAACAGTAATGCCACGAGAGGGTAGTGAGTAGGACTTCCCTGGCAGAGGCTGTATACGCGTGGCCATCTGAGAGCATTTAGAGAGGGAGAGCGGACTCTAGTCACTCTCGACCGTACTAGGGCATTTGAGGGCATGTACTTATATGGAAATAATATAACTCTACCTTGTACAATTCATATTGCTCAATAAAGATAAAAGACTAAATTTTCATCGCTGCATGCAATAACTCATTAAGAAGCTAAATCGGAGCGGTTGAATTGAACAAAAATGCATTTTATGCAGTCGATAGAAAACGGAAATCAATGTTCATGAAAAACAAATCCCTTGAATGTTTAGAACAAGTTGTATCATGTTTCATGCTAAGAGTAATACGTTAAAAACATTACCAATACCGGAACGGTCTAATTCGGGATTAGATAAAATTAAAAACACTTTTGTATTGTTACAATAGCGCTCAAGTAACAAGAAAATAATAGGCTCTGTCAAAAGACCTGTTACCCAACGTCTTTCTAAACCATTAGTCTGCATCTACGTACATCACTCGGGCCCACACTATTCATGGACTGATGCTGTATTCTGTGTTGACCACACCTAGTTTTTTAAGCAATTTCTATACCAACAAGTATATTTTGTTTAGGTAGGCACACGTAGCACTCGCTTAAAACATCTTAGTCAATAAAGATACGTAACTAATTTACCTAATACCCAATACATAACCTCAACACTCCTCTCTAAGTCGTTTCACCATGTTCGAGCTAATCGGCAACCCCAACGGTAGCAAGCGTAATCTACAAACAGCTGTTTGGTTTATAAATGCCGACCAAAAATAATCGATCGCGCTTATTTACTTGCCATTTAAATATCGGTACAAAAGGTCACGGGAATTAGATGAACTACACAGAGTAGTCATTATTCAAATATTAACAGATACGAAGATTACGCCTACCTCATACATCTAATTCCACTACTGCACACTCAAATTATTTATTTATTTATTTAATCACATATATATTGGTACAAAGGGCACCGGATACATATGCGTCACACAAAATAATGAGAATGGGAGAAGGAAGAAGATGCGTATATATAAAAGAAGGGAAAAAAAGAAAAGGAGAAGAGTAATGATGGGGGGAACTGAATGTACAACCAGAAGAGCTCTCTCAGTTAGGAAAGTTATAGCCACTCTTTATGAAGAAAGTAGAAGGTTACAGCAGGCTCGCCATTGGCTTCTATTTTGAACCATATCTGATAACGTCTCTAGCCACTGTGTTGCACCATCTCTCGGACCCCAACCAGGGAGTCGTGAAGGACCAACAGAAGCTAGCCCTTTGCAGCTTTCTTTCATGCCACGACACCATGTCATACACTGACCTCCTCTTCGCTTTTTCCAACCAGTCCCAGAGTCGGCAAATAATGCACGACGTGGAAGCCTCTGGAACGACATTCGTAAAACATGTCCAAGCCACCGAAGTCGGTGTTTCAAGATGGTGACACCAATCGAATTATCGTCTCTGCGCCCCAACACACGATGCCGAACCTCTGCATTACTAACATGGTGTTGCCACTGAATGTCAGCAATCCTTCGGAGACAACGATGATCGAACACAGAAAGACGTCTAACATCCTCAACAAGGAGAGGCCAGGTTTCACAAGAATAGAGCAAAACTGCTCTCACCGACGCGTTGTAGATCCGACCTTTTACAGCCAGACTAGCATCACGAAGGCGCCAAAGATGGTCCAGATTGGCATAAGCCGCTCTGGCTTTCATTATACGTGCATCAATCTCATCACTCACGCCACCACCACCACCACTTATATAGCTACCTAGATACACGAACTTCTCAACTACTTCAATCTGCTCACCATCCAGGGTGAGTACAGGATGAGAATCCTGCCAGTCTTGTAGGAGTACCTTGCACTTGGAGGGTGCAAAGCACATGCCGTGCCTGCGGACACTGATTGACAACTGATTAAGTGCGGATTGCATGCCTTGGGCATTATCGCACAGTAAAACAATATCATCCGCATACTCGAGGTCGAGAAGTCGTTTTCCAGGCAACATATGTACACCGCCATTACTTACATCCATCAGAGCTGTTTCCAGGATGTCGTCGATGGCAATATTGAAGAGGAATGGTGAGATCGGGCAACCCTGCCTAATCCCGCTGCTCGAATGGAACAAGAGAGAAAGGTGGTTGTACGCCCTCACTCTGCCTGAGGTGTTCGTATACAGGGCCTTTAAGATGTTAATAAACTTCTCAGGCACACCCTTCTTCAATAGACAATCCCAGAGAACAGTCCTGTCAAACGAATCGAAGGCAGCCCTGATATCAAGAAACACTACGATTGTTGGCCTGCGATAAGTGTGACGGTGTTCTAACATTTGGCGGAGGGTGAAGATATGATCAATGCATCCTCGACCAGAACGAAAACCAGCCTGCTCCTCGCGAGTCAATCGTTCTCGGGTTTTTAACAACCTACGAAGAATGACAGAAGCCAATAGTTTGGACGCAATCGGAAGTAGACATCCCCCGATAGTTGTTACAGGTACAACGTGAACCCTTTTTAAAGATAGGGACGACTATCGACTTATTCCATGATGTTGGAACACTTTCTTCCTCCCAAATCTTTGCAAGCAACGCAGTCAGTTCCTTAGCCAGAAAGTCACCACCATCTTTAAAAAGAGCCGGAGGTAAGTCATCTGGGCCAGGTAACGTTTCAAGAGTTGGAGTTCCTTGCGGACTTACGCCTCGTTTGGTGGATCAGTCGTCACCTGCCATGGGGGGCAGGAGAAACTGGTTGATGTTGCCGGGGCAGCAGGTCAGTTGAACTGCCCTTCGAAAAATTCCGCCCATCGTCCAAGACGTCGAGAGATGCTAGTGATTGGCATCCCGTCATCCTCGTAGATTGTTTCACTCACACCAGACTTCTTGCTGCCAGTGGCTCGGATGAGTTGGAAGAGCTTCCGGCAGTTACCAGATGCAGCTGCTTCTTCCATCTCATTAGCACGCTCCGACCACCAGTCTTCTCGGTCCTCACGCAAGCTTTGCCCAATTTCATTACGTAACGGCCTTCGTTTGTGGTCATACTCACGGTCACCCGGAGTAGACCAACGGGCTTCCATCAGTTGTAAGGAGCCAGAAAAAACCCAGTGCTTATAAGCGGGACGTTTTGCGAAGCCGCAAGCGGCTTTACTCGCCATTTTCATGGCGTCATGAAGTTGCAACTAATGCTCATCTATACTTTTCGGTGGGATAGTAGCTAGCCTAGAAGCTAGCTCCGCCCGATACTTACTTGCAACAGAAGTTGCAGCCAGTTTACTAACATCGATCCGTTGGTGGTGGTCAATCCTTCGGCCACTGAAAAGTAAGGTGAGATTGGCGCAGACCAGGGCATGATCAGACTTCAGATAGGTACTCCAAAAGGAGCGGCAGTCTTATACACAACCACGCCAGCGGTAGCTGATCGCGATGTGATCAATCTGAATCCAGGCTTGAGATGCAGAGGGAGGACGCCAGGTAGCACACCGGCGATGACTGTGTCGGAAGTTAGTGCTGGCCAGAAACAGGTTGTGGTCTGTGCACAGTTGCAGCAAACGGTCCCCGTTATCTGCCCTGCGACCAACAAGTCCCCATCGGCCACCTAAACGACTCTCTTCTGTGCCTAGACGCCCGACCTGTGCATTCAAGTCTCCGGCTAGTACTACAATATCTGTCGAACGCGCTTTCTGGAGAAGAACTGTTAACTGATGGTAAAACTCATCCTTGATTGCATCCGGGCTGCAATCTGTCGGGGCATAGGCGGAGATGACGAAAAGACACCGTTTCTCACGCCGATTTCTTCTCACTTTGATGGAACTTTCTAATCTAACAGCACATAACCGACTGTTAATGGGGATCCAATAGATTAGTGCTGCCTCAGCCCTAGCGCTTAGTGCGACACCAACGCAAGCAAGACCAGACGAAAATGCCACAGGGTCCCCGGATAAGCGCACGTGGAACAAGCTCTTCGAGGTGACAGATGGAGAGCGGATTTGTAGTACTTCACTAGAGTCTTGAATACGGGTCTCGGATAGACAACAAACGTCAACATTAAGACCTTCCAAAGACATAGCCAGCCCTATCTGTTGTCTGATATGCATTAGTGTGCGAACGTTGAAGGAAGCCAGCTTGAACGGCGTACGTGGTTTCAGAAAGACTGCTTCAGTATTCATAATCGGTGAAAGCATTCACTTTCAACCAGACAGTGACTGGAGATCGTTTAGATAGGATAGATTTTCCACCAAGAGCGAGCTGCTGCATAAGTTGAAAAGTAAGGTTACACAAATTGGGGATAAAAGGGGGTGAGTTAGCGATATGGTAAATAATAATAATAATAATAATAATAATAATAATAATAATAATAATAATGCAAATTGAATTGTATCTTGTATGAACAAGAATATAATTGTCAGCTGAATGTTCCATTTTATTTATTTGCGAGAGGGCTGTGATACTGCCCACACGCCCAAACCGAAGCAGGTGGTTTTCTTAGGGGGCCACACCCCGAGCCTTCGACCTAGAGGTCTAATCCACAAGGCAGTGGAGCATCGTGAGGAGATGCAGTCCCATGGTAGCCGGTGACCAACAACAGGTTCATTCGCCATTCGTTCCATCAGGATACTGGAGCCCATGTGCACCATTGGTTTGTAATCAGGGTTTTCCAACTCCCCTAGGTGGACCCTCCGTGTCCACCAACCCGGTTATAGCGCCGGACATTTGCTTTTCGTCCCCTTACTTTCGTAAGCAACACCCCCGTCACGAGAAGGCAGTGAGTAGGACTTCCCTGGTAGAGGCTATATATTCACTTGGCCATATGAGAGCATTTCGAGAGGGAGAGCAGACTCTCCCTACTCTCGGCCGTACCAGGGCATTTGGGTGCCACTTAAATGATGGCATCGCAAACAGTATTGTTGGATTTCATTACGATTCCTATGCTAACGTCACTTTTGACATGTGGTTCAGGCATTAAGTGGACCTATTTAAATTCGATTTTACCAATCAAGACGATGCTTGGAAGGTTTTTTCGCTACTTCGGAAATTCAGTTCAAGTGAGTTAGGTAGGTACGACAATTACATTTTGCCTCTGATCACACGTGATCGTTCATTTTCTGACATTATCAATCCATTAAACCAACAGTTTGAAGATAACTCCTCATTATTCAATACACATTATTGATGTTTAAAGATGATTATGAACGAAGACGCTGACACCCTCAAGCAAGTGGTTTTTTTAGTGGCACACTCCACGAGTCTTTAGCCCAGAGGTCTAATCCACAAAAAGATGGATCAACGTTAGGAGGTGTAGTCCCATATTGACCGGTGGCCGATAATGGGTTTACAAATCGTTTGCTCTCTCAAGATCCTCTAGCTCATGCGCACCATTGGTTTGGAATCAGGGTTTTTTTAACTTCTCTAGGTGGATCCTCCGTATTCACCAACCTGGTCTAGACGTCGGATATCTACTTTTTGTCTTCTCAATTTCGCAAACAACCTCACCGCATGAAGGCAGTGAGTAGGACTTCCATAGTAGTGGCTCTATACACGCGGCCGTATGGGGGCATTTCCAAGAGAGGACTCTTCACTCTTAGCCGTACTAGTGTTTGAAGGAGGTTAAATCAACTATACACAAAACCGAATTATCAACGCGAACTTATTTAATAACGTAATATTAAAAACAAGACCAGTAGACATGTTGGTAGGTTTTTTCTTTAGTGAAATTACATGCTTGTAGACAAAATACTAACCGCTAAAATGATTTGAATTCGACTGGAACACAAGCGTCTGGGAGGCTCAGATTTTGAGGGTCACTCAAGACCTAATTATCAGATTTCCTTCTTTCCCACCATAACATATAACTTAGGGAAGCTTAGGAGAGCGTAGTACTTATCTATCATGAAACGATACTCAGCTACATTGTCAATCTCATTTAAGCGAAAGGTTTAAGACGTCTTAAGATAATAAGTTGCATCATTTAAGTTTAACTTCTCCTTATTACCTACTAAAAAGTCTACGACTAGAAATAAAATTGTCAGCCAACTATTAACAATTTGGGATCTGAAAAAAAAGATACGCCGACCTATCTAGCCATAATTCACATTAGTACAATAAAAGAACTAAAAACTGGAACATAACTACTGTGACGGATGGGGATAAATGGTCTCACTAATTGATTTACCACATTCACATAATACTATAACACCCCGTATTGCTTGTTTCATGGTTCCACAACACAACAACGATTATACGGAGACAGTTACTAACATCATATGCATGTCTTCTACTTGCATAGATCATGCTGTACAGCTAAGAATTAATGAGAGGACTACCGGAAAATATTCCCAACCTTCGATAGAGATATATACATCATAGCTATGTCACTGGTTGATAATCTCAACAGAAGAAATAATAAGTAGTGGAAAAGGGATGGTTATTTTGAACAAGATTAACTTGATTGCTATAGATTCGAAACAGCTGAAACGATTTAGTTCCCCACAATGCGGAACAATGTGAAACCTGGGGATAAGACTGCGTTCTCGTTGAAGGCCATATTGCTCTGGGAGAGTGACTGAAGATCCAAAGGATAATCACTTAATCCTGATCACAGGATCACTTTTTAAGTTGTACTCAGTACTTTACAGATCATATCAGCACTAGAACACTAGCTCAGGATGAGATGTTCTTATTTGCAAACTGACCTTTTCCAGACTCATCATCCATCCATGAGAAAGCAACATCACCGGGGAAACACAAGTCCACCTTCAGGCTTAACATAAGCTGCCCTTTGTCTTACCACCCTCCGACGAACCAACTTGAAATAGTAGCATTCAAAGGAACAAGTGTTCTAGCCCTGACAGTCTAAATAAGTCACAATAAGCTAAACTGAGTGACTTAGGGGCTCTTATCCATTAGGTCAAAGGTTTAAAGTCTAACTACTTCGGTTTGGGCAGCAATAGAGTAATGCTACCCTCATAAAAACACTTGTAAAATGTATTTCGAAGTCTAATACTTCAACCAGTACTTGGTAGACGCGTTACTAAAATGTACAAACACTATCAAGATAGCGACCACGGGTTATCAGATTGAGACTAGTGATATTTTTAACTACTCTATTTTAGACACATGTATATAATGGAACAGTCACACAATTACTTAATCAGCAACATTTTAGGTATGGAGATTGGTGATACTAACGGGTTGAGCTTGAAAGCAACAGCCGATTTCAATTTTCTCTAGACATGCCTTATCAACATTTTGGAGGGATTCAGACAGTATGTTTGCACGGTTCAGACCGATAACTTCATACAGCGGTACCAATATTCTATGGCAGTTTGAATCGACGAACAGATGTGCCAAAGTTTGTATTGCTTATAACTGATTGAAGCTAATGTGGTGTTTTGGAACGACAACCATTCCCTTGTTCCAAATCTACTATGTTAGCTGGTAGATGGCTATGAACGATTAGTAATGGGACATGCAAGGCTGCGTTTGAAAATCGAACTATAGAAACACGGTTGGTCGAAAGAGATTGGTGGGCAACCTGCAGTCCAGGACCCAGTAACCATGGGTTAGTTGTACCCATTTCAAATTAAAAATAAGGCAGACGAATAAACAATATAGCAGAGTCGTCTTACTCGGTAAGGAATAATTAACTTTCGTGTGCAATGACAGCATTCGGCAAAAAAATTATTTTGTTTCTCATGTTAAATTTACTGCTTGGTATTAAAGCTTTTAACAAATTCATAGTGATCACAATGAAATTTTGCCTTGCTTCGCTTCGAGATTTGGCTAATGGTATGTCATTCTTTTTAGGGCTGTCAATGAGTATGAATTAACTTCAGGGGAACAGACGGAACTATTATGATAACTGCCGGACGACCGTGTGCTAATCATTTTGGTCAATCAGGAGACACTAAAGGTATGTGAGTGACTCGAGTCACTTGCTTAGTAAAACTGAAAACTCCAAAGGCATGAAATTTTAGCCTAGACTATGAATGAAGTACCACTAAATGTCCCTTTTCACATTTCATAGGGTGTTTCGGAGAAATACACTTCACAACAATCAAACAAAACACACTTACCACGATACATACCACCACAAGCTCTGAGGGTCGCAAATTAACGCGCGGGTCCAATAGCCAATACTTTTGTCACGTGTTTGTATAAACCACAATTTCTTTGCTCTTGCTTTTTGTTGTTTTGGTACTGTCCCTGGCATTTGTTTATGTTCAATGAGTAGTAGTCTAACCACTCGACTCCATTAGATCTAGTCTGCCTGATAGTTATTTGTGGATTTGAGATCCTATAATTAGAACGGGTGTGTCTGTCTCAAGGAAGTAAGGTTTTTAGATACCATCAGCTATCATATTACCATGCAGGAGTTTGGTCGGCTGAAATGTGGAAGCAACTATGAGATAATATGAGTACTATTTAAAAGGACAGTGGCATTGTTTCTCGTTGAGGTAAATTCACTGTTTGGATCGTAAATTAAGCATCAAAACTACTGTTTACACTTTAAAAGAGTTTATTTCACTTAAAGTGATATTGCGTTTGTGTGCTTTGATCTTGCTTTTGTGTATTTACTGCATCAAAGCATTCTTGGTCAACTTCGGCTTCATTTATTTCGTAGCTGTAGCTTTGTAAGTGTTCGACATTGGATGCTGACCACATTAGTTTTAGTGGACTTATTTGACTGAAGGCGCTCGGTCATGCATCCGTACCAGATCACGTTTCAGAACGGCGTGAGAAACATCTCCTCCGATCATTAGCCAGATTAGATCAGTCACTTCTCGATATATTGATAACCCATCAAATATATCTTCCAACCTCCTCGCTTCTGACTGGGTGGGAGCGATTCACGCATGGAAGGTGTTACTAATAAAGTGTTGTCAAACTGCAATACCTGTAGCATTTTCAATTTCATCTAGGCTTGGGATTTGTCTAACACATCCATCTTGTCTACCATTCTAGTTAATTTTTAAGATGGTCGGCTCTGCTCACAAGTGTGGACAGCCATATTGCTTATGCTATGTAGAAGAAGGAATGCAATTTGAAGAATATAAGAAGTGGTTTCATAAGTTTTGCATCTGCTTAAGTCCCACTGCCTATAAAAGGTGTTCAAAGCTTAATTCTCGTTGGCTATGTATGTTTTACTGTTCGAGCAAAACGTCACTCATTCAAGAAGCAATTAGCCTTCTGGCATTAGCTAACAAAAAGGTTGACGAGGGCCGTACCGGTAACATGGATACTGATAACGAAGAATGTACCAGTAGATCTGAACTGTTCTCTAATCACTTCAGGCAACATTTATATCAGAAGTGACAGAGTTATAAGTCGCAAGGGAGGAGGCATGTTATATGTTAGGGATAACTTTCTCGTACAAACGACCATATCGGAGGGGCATCCTAATGGTACATGTAAGGTAGCATGTTATACAACTAGGTCTAGAAACGGGTTAGTGACTATAGGAGGAAAATATCTCAGTCCGTGTTGTTTTGTTGACGACTTTATCATAAGACACATCTGTTCTTGGAGTAAGGCAGAATGTTGTCACGTCGTTGTAGACTTCAACTCACCACATATCACCTGGATAGAGCTCACATCCTCAGGTGGGGGGTTTGATAGCGACCTTCTATCAACAGTTATTCAGTGTGCACTTGTACAATGTATCTTAAAATTGACACATATTGACTTGGAACATGATCCATTATTGCTAGACCTTGTCCTCACACACCACTGTGAAGATATCATCAATATTCAACACCTTCCCAACTGGTGAATAGTGACCATGTTGTACTTTCCTTTAAATTCTGGACACATGGTGTAGAATTTGAATCTGCTCCACTCCGTCCTAATATCTGGAGAGCTAATATTCCGGCAATCAGAGACTGTGCTATCTCGATTGACTGGTCGGTCGATGCTGCTTGATCGATCGAAGACGAATGGAATAGGTTTAAGGCTACATTGGAGTCCGTAGCTCAACCGTTTATCCCATGGTCAACACGTAAGCTATCACATTGCCCTCCATGGAACAATAAGGAAACCCGGAAGTTGTCAAAGCGTAGGAAACACTTCTGGGATTTATCAACAGGACAGACATCATTTTAGAGCGAATATAACAAATCCGGAATATATGTAAAAAGACCATAGCTAAATCCCTTACCACTTACGAACGACAGTTGACATACGATAGCCGTACTTGTCCGGAGCGACTGTTTTCGTACGTTAAACGGTGGACAAAACGTAATGATAGTATTCCCGCGTTACTGTTACACGAAAATTCAGATTTACCAGCTGAATCTGGTCTAACAAAAGCTGAGACTTTTGCAAACTATTTTAGTGAAGTCTACTCTACGTGTAATGTTACAACTATTTGTTCCATTTACACCGAGATACAAGCCATAGGATCTGTACACGTGATTGAGGAAGTTGTTCTTCCATTGATAACTAACCTCAGACATTGTAAGTACCGGGCCCTGATGGTTTGCATCCACGCTTCCTGTCATTGCTTGCGAATATTATTTCAACACCGTTCGCAACGCTCTTCAAAGTGTCCCTTTCACTCGCTCAACTACCTAGAAACTGGAAAGACGCTATAGTCAGTCCTATATTTAAGGATGGTCAGAGACGGATCGTATCTAACTGCCCGCCTGTCAGCCTGATCAGCATAGCAGTTAAGTTACTTGAAAAGATAATTCGGGTTAATTTACTAAGTCACATTATTGTTTGCGGATGATGTCAAAATCTGGAGAACAATAAGAAGTGGGGTTGATCGTTGTCATCTCCAAGCTGATTTGGACGAATTAGTTAGATGGGCTCATGATTGGGGCTTGTAAGTTAATTCCAGGAAAAGCGTGCTGATGCACATCGGCCACGATAATAATAACCATTATACTATTGATGGTATAACTCTCCCACGCGTTCAAGAACATAAAGACAAAGTAATAATAAGTCACGACTTGAAAACAACTAAGCATTGCAAAGCATCTTCTTCCAAAGGTTATCGTGCGTTATGGTCACTTCGCCGAACATTCAAATGCTTTGACGAGATGTTTCGAATTTTATATCCCACCTACGTAAGACCACACTCAGAGCACTGTATTCAAGCAGCTAGCCCATGTCTGATAAAGGATACTAACTGATTTGAGCATGTCCAGAGTGTGGGGACGAAATTAGTGAAGGGTTTTGCTAAACTCCCTTACGATGAGCGTCTGAAACGTCTAAGACTTTTCCCTTTGCCTTACCGTATGACGCGAGGTGACCTTATATTGGCATTTCGTATCTTTAATTACGATTTGGGTGTTAATGTGTCTTATCTTTCTGCTCCCTCTGGAACTGATGATCTCCGAGGTCATAGCAAGAAGGTTCAGAAACCGCGACCTAATGAACTAAAGTGAGGTCAAGTTTTTCTCATCGTGTGGTTAATTACTGGAACGCATTACCCAAACAGGTGTATCAGCCCCATCAGTGAACATTTTCAAGGTGAAGCTTAACCTTCGCGGAAAAGAAATCTGTCAGAATTAACACAGGTTCATCAACCTACTGTCCTTATTACTGAAGACTGAAGATGACTTCCAGAGACAATCTCAATTGTGGAATTTATTAACAAATTTAAACAGGAGTTAAAAACGTCGACATTTACATCAGGATAAATATAAGGGACAGAAATTTACCAAAAAGTAACTTTAACAAGTGTTAGCCAAGAAATATTCCACAGATTCAAATATCTCCAAAAAGATAAAGTGTGAGTCGAAAAACAAGCATCTCAAACGTTAAACGCAATAGAAATCGATTATCTCCATTATCCATCACTTTGGGTGGCGTATCTTTCGTGATGTTTAATGGGAATTATATAATGATTTGGAGTCGTCCACAAAAATATTCACTCTCAGCATCTTAGAAGTAAAACTTTAACATTGTTGTGTTCGCTTTTAGAGCTAAACTATTACATCCCTAGGTCCCTACTTGAAGGCACAAGGGGTCATTTGCTAATGGCACGAGATTTCGTTAAGCGAGGGCTTCTTCTATTACATATGTAATAATCGAAACCATTTTCGAACCATTGTTTATTGAGACAATTTAATACCCAGTGTGGCGTTGTGAATTATCCGGTACATGTCGCGGCACAGAAACGTAAGAGCATTGTATGATGATGGTACGCGTTATAACTGTTTTGATGGAAACTGAACTAACAAACAGATGTAGATACTTATGAAGAAGCCTTTGCAAGTTCAGTTGATGATGACTATACAATTTCCCCGAACACATCAGAACGATACATATTTAATCCTGACAGTGTATTCAAGCAAGACATATCAGTATCTTTAACGAATGTCAAACCACTAAGTTTCACGGCAGAGGATTTCCCTGCAAACGATTCCGAAAACTTCAAACCAGGCAAGTTCTGTTTATTTTTTAAATATCGATTATTCACTGTCCACAGAAGATTCTCCTGGTATTGTGTCTGGACGAATAGGGTCTTATCAGGCATTTAATTTCTCTGTACCAAGAAATAACGAAGTTACGAATCAAAATGATAGCGTGCATGGCTCTGATGAGGTGTTTGGCAACAGTGATCTTTTTGATTCAAGTGGGTTATCACCTTGGTTTATCTCTTTACTAAATCGTAGGTAATTTTAAACCTTTGAACACAAGTGTCGTCGGGGGAGATAAATTAGTGGACAGTACAGTTTCTGTAAATAAGTCCAGAGTAGAGGAGTTGGATTTTGAATTGCTTGACCGTTTAACTTCACAATCCCCGTCAACTCAGCAGTCGTTTCAGAAGCCTGCTAAAACTACAGTTAGTGTACAAGATACCACAAGTCGCCTTAAGTCAAAGTCAACTAACCTTCATTTTTTGTCGAAAACAACTAGCCTTTTTAGCTCCAACTGTAGTATATCAAAGTTAGCTGGCATTACAGCTTATGATATGTCGACAAAAACTGTTAACAGTACTGGGTGTCTCATAGGGTATAAAACTCCTAGTTTCTTTGGCTTGTTGATGTCATCGTATACCGCTAATAAATCGAAAGGATTTGATGGAATGTTATCAAGGTTTTCAAACATTATAGTCCGCACCCGCTCACCCATTTATAACTACCTATTCGCACCTCGTACTGTCTCTGGATTTGTTTTCGATATTCCGGAGCCAAAGACTTTTGAACGTTGTGGTTCAAAACTAGCTAGTGTAACGAAAAAGCCTTGCAGTCAACGAAAAGTCACGGCACACGGTATGCTATACATTATGTATTCGTCAGTTATATATTTAACGCTTTTCGAGTATAGCAGAGATTTTCATCTCGTAAAAATTAATGTAGGCAACAGTCACTTTAACAAAACAGTGTTACTGTGGGGTTAGCTCTCATGAGTAATGATGCAGATTTATGGAGGATTTATTTTATAAACAAAATTTTTTTCTATACTTCCATCAAGTAATCTTAAACAAAAACTTTATTATAATATTTTAGAAATAATGTGTCAGTTATCTGAAGTTGCTTACTTGTCCTGAATGTCTGGAGAAAAGAAAACCAATTATACTACCGTTCACATTCACTTACCCTTTGCTACCCTTTAGATCCTAAGTGTCTAAATTCCTCATAATCTTCGTTGTATTTTACTAATTTATATTTTATCGAATCGTATCTCTTACCTGATCTCTTCTGTAACCAATTATACTGTTACTACGCCTAATACTCTGAGATTCGCCCTGAAGATTTCATCTTGCAGTGCTAGTGGGTCATGGTAACTTAAACCGAATTACAACTGCTAGGTTCTACGTTGTGTTTGACTTACTGATTAATCCTATGTGCTAAGTATGTTTGTACGTTCCAAATTAATGCAACTATTTCTCCCATCTATGACAATTATCAGGCCGTCAATAAGTTGAGAGTCTTATCTAGCTTATTTATTTAAGCACATAAACATTGGTACAAGGAGGTATCAAATAGATATGCGTCACGAATGATTTGGGTGAGGGTTGGAATACTGCCCGAGTGCCCAAACTGAAGCTTACTAAGTCAGTTTAACTTAACAGAGTACAAGAAAATACATAAACCGTTAAGTCTTGAAATAATATTGGAAAAATAGATGGTTTCCAACTCTTTAAATCAATCTAAATTTACCGTATCTAACTGTCAAATCTTACTATGTTGAACAACCTAGCGATTATTCATAAAATGATTACAACAGAGGACGAATAACTAGAGGATGGTGCTAATTTTTTTGTTGGGTCTGAATAAAGTCCCGATTTCTATTTCTCCAGTGTTGTATATCCACTCAAACATTTTATAATGGAACTGGTTTGTTGTCAGCCTTCTCATGTTACTAGCTTGTACGATTATAAATTACCTGGTATGTGGTGTTAGAAAATGTTAGCATATCACCATATTTATCTATCAGTCATGATTCTTCAGGATTAGGCTTTTGCAGCTAATTAAACATGAAACCACTGTTTGCTATTATTTTCGGAGTAATTCTGGGGCACATCGAATATATCTGTGGATTTCTACATACCAACCAATAGGTCGGCTGGTAATTCATAGTCAACGCAGGGCAAAAATGTGTACTGATCCTACATGCTACATCCCATTAACTTGGCAAAGAAGGACATTAACTCAATGAAAAGCAAATAAGAGGAAACAATACCAACCGTTGTTCATATCTGATCATGAAAAATACGGCTCAAAACCAACAAATCCAATTAAAGAATGAGTAATTATGAATCACGGTCAACTCGAGATTTTGAAAAAGATAAGTTCATAATATTACAGCGGTTTCATCGCATAGGCAATTGTTCGCACATAGTTGTAGTTCAAAATCATATCATAAGATCGGTTCCTTAGATTTGTGCCTTAAGGAGGTTTTACTGTTGAGTTAAACAACTAAAACTAAGAAGTAGACCTTGTTCAGTCAGTCAGCTACAACATAGGACCAGGCACATTTATGCATCGGTCCAAGTTGCCATAAGTTAAGTGGTTACGAGTAGTGGATAGGGTACCTTGGATTTAGGTCTTTTATTATCTGGCACTCATCAGCAGGTTGTGCCTTCAATCTTGAGAAAATTGATGCTAGGTAACGGAGGATCAACTTCCTAAAGATTACAGTTATACTTTAGTGGTGAGAGCCAAATAACACGAGACCTGGATTTAGGATTTCGTACCGGCTACCTCCAATCACTTAACATCTCAACATAGTGCACACAATGTGAGGTCATTTAGACTAGTCGCTACAATGCAACTTGATTGACAGAATTCGATCACCACTAAAAAGGACTAAACAAACATGACAAGTCACTACTCAGTGATGAGTCCACTGTAAGTGGATTTTTCATCTTGTCGATTTGTTTAGTATCTAATTTATGCGATATAAGGTCAGGGAAATAATTGATACTTCTTTTTGTATCAATCTTGATTTATGCAGCTTTAGGTGTACCTCAAGCACGTCCTACAGAAGAGGTCAATCGTGCTGATGCGTCATTATTAAATTTATCACTTTCTCAGAAATTGACGATCTCTAGTCATTCTGATGAACGTTCTAACTTCTTACGTACCCCGAGCAATAATTCAGCAACTCCTAGCAAACCCATTGACCGGCATTCTTTGGTAAACGAATATTCTAAATTGCATAAAGAGTCAGCAGAAAAACAGATTATCAATCTTATTGTTATGGGTAAGTTTAACTGTAATTTTTGTCTAAAATTATTATTATTTGAACACAAATATTGATCCAAGGGGCACCAGATATATATGCGCTACACAAAAAATGTCATTTGATTTGTGTGAGGGCTGTGATACTGCTCAGGTGCCCAAACCAAAGCAGATGGTTTTCTTAGGGAACCACACCCTGAGCCTTTGACCTAAAGGTCTGATCCACAAGGCAGTGCATCAATGTAAAGAAATGCAGTCTCAGCCGGTGACCAACTATTGATTCATACGCCATTTGTTCCCTCAGGATACTGGAGCCCATGTGCACCATTGGTTTGGAGTCAGGGTTTTCCGACTGCCCTAGGTGGATCCTCTGTATTCACCAACCCGGTCAAATTGCCGGACATTCGCTTTTCGTTCTCTCAATTTGTAAACAACTGTAATGCCACGAGAAGGCAGTGGGTAGGACTTCTCTGGCAGAGGCTGTATACGCGTGGCCATGTGAGAGTATTTGGAGAAGGAGAGCGGACTGTCCCCACTCTCGACCGTACCAGAGCATTTGGGGGCTTTTCTTAGATGCTATTATTCTATGCTTTTTCACTGGATAATAATTACCTTTATAATTTTATACTTTTGGTGGTTAGTAATAGTTGTTAAGAGACCATGAAATTGGGTTTCTTGCTAGTTGGAACTCGTCAGCAAGAAGCCTCTGGAATCTTAAAGGAACTAACGTGATCTCCTGAACTTGAACTTGGTTCATTTGGCTTCGCAGTTTGAGATGCTACCACTAAGTTATTCAGCTCACTACTGACCTGTTGTGGAACTATGGTATTTACAGAGATTGATGGCGTTAGTGACCAATTCTTGTGTGTCTAGTCCTTTGGACTGGCCGAATCGTATTTGTTGGAGTGATCCAGAAAATTTCTCGCAATAGACAAGAAAGGCTCTGGAAAACATTAAGAAGCATTTTATCCAATCAGCGTTTGACTAGAAGGTTTGCTAGAAACATCACGAAAGTGAAAATTAACATGTAGGGTTTCTGATTGGCTGATTACTACACTGCTACTATGTTTAGTAGTATTCCAGGAAAACCCAAGGACTTCTAAAATACTATAAAAACCCTATATTTTCTGTACATAAATAAACCTTTGGTGTAAAGTGCTTCTCGCATACTTCGTGCCTTTTCTCTCGTGTTCAAGTCTCTGTGTAGATTTAACTTGGGGGTTACGAGACTAGCTTAGGATCCGAGTATAGCGTTCAATTAGCAAGAATCATCACCATTGCTTAATAGCGATTGTGATTCACATTTTTATGCAGACATGTATCAACCTCGTCTTTAGTGAAGAGACAATGCTTCATTTGTTGGCCCCGTTGTAGGGAGCAATGTCACACAGACTCATTTTTAAATTAATTTCCGGTCTGTCCAACATAGAATCTTAGCCTTGTCAAAGTCATAAGAAGTCAGCTATTTGGCCAGATAAACTACCTTTCTAAAACAAGATAACACCATTAGTATACAAAAAACAGTTGATACAGTCTATTAGACGAGAATAAAGAGCAACATAAATAACATAACGAACAGTAACTAGAGGATAGGGAAAGTGAATCACCGAAACTTAATATCGTTTATGACACATGAAAAATTGTGATTGCTGAATGAACAAGATATAGTCATACAAAGTCAAAGAGAGTTGATGTGGTGGTAGGTGTTTAATGCTGTCGTTGGTGTTTTTTATCGATCATGCCTTACACTTCCCCTGAAACGCTCACCACGTCCATTGTACCTGGATCGTCGTCGTTAAACAACTGGCTTCTTTAAGTAAGCATAAGTTGCAATTGTTAGTTTTTTCCGGCTATACTAATGTCGTCTACTTTTTTGTATCATGATTATACATTCTTGCTTGTAACTGTTCAGTATACTGTTTATAGGGTTGTGAAAACGTTTCAATATTCATCTGTAAATGTAAATATGTATATATTTGTTTTTCTTTTAAATAGGACATGTGGACGCTGGTAAAAGCACTCTAATGGGAAATCTACTTTGTTTGTTAGGACATGTTTCTAGTAAACAATTAGCTAAATACCAATGGGATGCACAAAAACTAGGCAAAGCATCATTTGCCTATGCATGGATTCTAGATCAAACTTCTGAGGAAAGAAATCGTGGCGTTACAATGGATATTGCACAAACTTCATTTGAAACAAAATCAAAACGAGTAAGAGATTAGAAGCATGATTTATATATTCATATTTTTGTGTGATTATATCTATGCTTTCAAAATCTGCAGTGTATGAACATAGATTTTCTGATGCCTAATTTGTGATTTCCACTGTGTTTACGGCTAATCCTAGTCAATCTTTTTTAGGAAAAAACACTGGTGAAGTGATACGGCAACACTATAATTTATGGATGAACCAATAAGATTTAGGTTAGCAGGTTTTGGATTTTAACGCGGAATTCATTCATCCGTATGGTTAAACAACATTTTGACATTACAGCTAATGTTAGATCGTGATGAAAACCCTTACTTTAATTCCTAGCCCTAATGTCCAGCCGTAAATCCTTATCCAAATTCTCTAAACTGATTTGTAACCTTGATTTAATGCTAGTAAGTTGGTCAGTACTTTAAAGGTAACTTGAGCGTCCCTCAAAAGTCGTCCATAACTTATAATCTAACTGCTTCATCAACTGTATCTGTTTGAACATGTATTACGGATATTCATCACCGTTTACCATAATGAGTTATACTAGGTAGCATGGGGATAGATCTGGAAAAGGCTAACAATAACGAAAATAAAACATTTAGGATCATCAACCTGTGAAGTTACTAACAATTAATTTGAATGATGTAGTTCAGTCTTCTAATCAACTGATTATTAAGTACATATTTGTGTGCTTGACTTCGAGCCACATTCTAATTGTGAGGATTAGTTATACTACAACCTGGTTGCCCTAACTAAAGGAGATGAAACTGAATTAGAACTTCCAACTTGGAAGTCGAATACCTTGACCACTAAACCACTGCTAATCGTAATCTATGGTTACAGAAGATAAGTGATTTAGCTTGAAATCGGTTGTAGTGACACCGATGTATTCATATTTATGCTTTCTGTAGATCTTGAGCTTTAACATTATTTTATACTTCTCATTTATTTGATTTAATTCATTCTCTTAAATCTATAGTTGTTAGACTTTTGTTGTCATCAATGGTACAGTATAATCTTTTTATTAATCAACTTGGTTGGATTCACATAACTGAAGAAGTTGTATAATGGTCATAACTGACTAGATGTAGTCAGTAGGTTTTCTATATTGATGACAGGAGTAATATATGTTGACCACATTGTAAGGTAAAATAAAAGGCTAAAAAAGACTGAACTACCATACTATTAATCATTTATAGAGAGGTACAGGCTTCTTTATTGAAACCCATATTTAGCTTAAATTCAATCGCAACAATACATACTTTATTATTTTGTACGTTCTTTACGTCAGCATATAATTCTGTACCTTTCATTCTTCACTTCCAGTCTTATTCAATCATCAAGTATACCTACAAATTTGTTATGTGATACTGTCAAAATATAAGTAGATAGTATATGACTCAGATCTACATTTAAACTACAAATCCTTCAACTTTTAAGACGTTTACCAATGTTTCCAGTGAATTTTTTGAAGTGTTAGGTACTTCCTTGGTTTATAGGAACTGATGGCATCTTTATTTGCCTTTTATTTTTTGCGTATTGAACGGTGAGACTTAATTATTCAAACACATGAATTATAGCTAATTAGGTTAAAGTTTTAAGCTTCAATTCATTTCACTTCCAATAATTAACTCAAAATGATGTACACTAACTTGTACTTTGCTATCGAGTTATATGATGTGTGATTAAGTAAACATTTATGGGTTAATTTCTACTCTATTAAAATCCTGTTTCTTGACTTTATTTACACATCTGATGATTTATATTTGTGTGGCGGAAAGAACTATGTTTAGGCGGTCAGTAAATAGATAGTGAGTTACTCTTAATAACATTGTCATCAAAGCAATAAATTCCCTTCTCTGAATCTTCTTCCTAACCTTGAATCATTGCTTACTGTGTATTGAAACGTTACTTATTTTTATCCGATATGCAAAGGTTGCTCTAATGGATGCTCCTGGACATAAGGATTTTGTTCCACAAGTTATTGGTGGTGCGACTCAAGCTGATGCTGCTCTCCTAGTTATCAATGCTACTCGGGGGGAATTCGAAACTGGAATTGGTGCTGGAGGTCAAACAAGGGAACACGCTCGATTGGCTCGTTTACTAGGGGTTTCTCGTTTAATTGTCGCTGTAAACAAAATGGATACAGTAGAATGGTGTCAGTCACGATTCAATGAGATTCAGACACAAATATCTAGTTTTTTAAAATCTATGAATTTTTCCGGCGTTGTGTATTGTCCAGTGTCTGGGTTGGTTGGAGCTAATTTAGTACCTCAAAATTTATCCAGTAGCAGTAAAAACGCTTCAGAGACAAGTTCTAACCTGTTTACGTGGTATACGGGACCTTCGTTACTCGAACTTATTGGTAAGTAGTGGTTCTGAGGTTGTTTACCATTTACTGCTTCTGGAATTGTTGGTACTTTCATTTAAATGCTATTGATATGAGTTGTGAATTAATTCCTCATTATATTATGTGTGACTCTAATTTCCTTACAAAAAATCTTGTTTCTAAGTCATTATCGTCGTCATAATCAACATCAGATCTGTTCATCGTTCCTAGTTGTCACATTATATCAACAGAAAAAAACAATGGTTTCCAAGTATGTATTTATTTATGTTGTTTCATTTTTGGGTTGCAATAGAACCATCAAATCTGTACAAAAACCATCTTGTCTGTTAATTATTTTGAACGCATAGCCTACATTCACTTGATATCCACTATCTTAAAGGTGTTTGGCAATTTCAGTTGTGATGACTATACTCCGTTTCAGCCATAGGTTTCCAGGAACATGTTCAGAAAACCTAGTAGAATTCCTTATCTTCTTCTTCTTATACACTTGCTACCTCAGATACATGCAAACTCATAGATGCATCTATGCACCCCTTATTATTGTCATAACTATTATCATTATTATATAATGAGTACACTGGTCTGTCGAAATTGAGAATCTGTCGCTTTTAAAAAGAATTGGTGGAAGCTTAATACATATTTTGACATTACATGGCTTATAAGTAAATTCCAAGAGACTCCATACAATCAGAAACTGATAGTACCCTCTAGAATAACAATGTGATATGCTATAATTGAACAATTATATAAACTTCATACCTGCAGGTTGGTTGGTTTATAATGATTTAGCTCATACCAAAAAACTATAAATACACTTGTTTCTGTACATTTCGTACATGTACTCATAAACGTTTCCCCTGTCTTCTTCCGTTCGTTCGATTCACAACTATGAGTGACAAAAATACGTTTAAGTCAAGTATGATTACCAAGTTTAGAGTTGATATTAACTCAGAACTGACATCATATGATTGTCTATATATGAAATGTCATTCATTGGTTTTCAAAACAACTTCATCATCATCCTATTGAGATGGACTTCTCCCTTTTCTTTACTAATGTATAAGTTTCAAAAAAGCATTTTAATGATTTTGTTCAATTATAAAGTTTAGTTTTCATATTATTCATATTAATGATAACATATTTTGACTAAATAATTTATTTAGATTCGATTCCACCACCAGAAAGAACTGTTGATGGACCTTTTCGTTTTGTTGTCAGTGATATATTTAAACCTGCTGGTTCCAGTGTACCGATGGTTGCTGGACGGGTTATATCTGGAGCTATTTCTAGCGGTGTAAATATACCTACAAGTAAGGTTATTTGCTTGCCAAGTGATGTACGAACTTGTGTGAAATCTATCAGATCATTGTGTAATACTCGTACAAGTCAAAATGATGCTGAAGGTTAGTTTATTGAAGTGAATCGTTTCACATTCTTTCTATAAACATAGCATGCATATATATATATATTTTCTAGGATTTATTATTGTTTCTCCCCCACTTTAACCGGGTTGGTGGACACGGCGCGTCCACCTAGGGGAGTTGGAAAACCCCAACTCCAAACCAATGGTGCACATGGACTCCAGTATCCTGAAGGAACAAATGGCGTATAAACCAATTGTTAGTCACCGGCTACCATGGAACTGCATCTCCTCACGATGCTCCACTACCTTGTGGACTAGACCTTCAGATCAAAGGCTCGGGGTGTGGCTCCCTAAGAAAACCACCTGTTTCAGTCTGGGCACCTGAGCAGTATCACAGCCCTCACACAAATCAAATGAGATTTGTGAGGCGCATATATATCTGGTGCTTCCTTATACCAATATTTATGTGTTTAAATAAATAAATTTGATCTTGAGTTATAATAAAGTTGTTTTATATCAATGTCCTAGTGTGCCGACTACCAGAGGAATAGAGTGAAAACGTATTTAGGGGTGACTACATCAAAATATGGTATCATTCTTATATACTCGATTGACTATTGGACTGAGCCATGTTATGTGGTACAGATTTCAATGTTAGCGTCGTCGAGATAATCGTAGCGTATTGTTGGGAGCGTACATATATCCATTGATAGTCTCCAAAAACACAGAAAAGGTTAGAATTGTTCTATCCAATCAGGACTGAATAGAAGTTTCTCAGAAGCATGTGAAAGATAAAGTATTGTGTACCACATCTTGATTGGTTAGTTATTAATGTTGTTACCATATTTAATATATTCCCAGAAGTTTTCTCTAGAATATAAAGATCCTACGAAAACGTACAAACTCGATTTTTTGTGTGCATAGATTAACCTTGGCGTAAAGCTTCTACTCATATTTTGCATCGTTTCTCTACTGTTCAAGTTCAAGTGTAGAATGAGTCCGGGGAATAGAAAACGCCTTAGGAATTCAGTAACCAGTGTTTAAGTAGAATACTTTATGTTTTAAATTGGTAACTTATGATAGTGTACTTGATAGATATAGTTTGCGAACAATAAATCAAATCATCATCGATGATGTGACTGATTATCATCAAATAGACTTAATAATCCACTTGTGTCATTTGTGATGGTTTGAATGCTTCTATTCATAATGTTAATCAAAATCCTTATACTAGCTAACACTGCGTTTCAGGAAAAGTGGTTACTTTCACATGCAATAAACATACTTAATCACAGTTCGTTTATATAAATATATATATCTTTCAGGTGATCTTGGAGGCAAATTGTTAGATCAAGTTGTTAAATTTGCATTTTCTGGTGATCAAGTGGCATTGATGTTGACAGATATTGATCCATTTCAAAGTCTTATTCCTGGTGATTTACTTACTGATCCAGACAATCCAATACAACCATCCACTTGTATTTCAGCTAAATTATTAGTATTCTCTATACAACAACCTATTACAAAAGGTTACCCTGTAAGTGTAAATTGTTGTCAGTTTTGTTGATTGTTGTTTTTATACACACTTTATTTGAATCACATTGTGATTGTCGAGTAAAATGTAAAAGAATTCCTTCTCACTACTGATATGCATATACAGTAGTTGTATGTAATCAAATGAAAAAACAATCCTTGGGTTGTGTGAACAAATTAATTTTGAAGTATAACTTCTGTCATATTTAGTGCGTTTTTCTCTTTGCATATAAGTGACAATGTATAAAAGGTTATTATTGGTTAGTTTTAACTGTATTATGGTATTTCCATTTGTACCATTTGGTAAATAATGCAGTTTTTAGGAAACGAGTACTAGGTAAGGATGGCAAATCGATTGAAGTAGTGAAACTTCATCAGTTGAGATGGCTGAAACACGTATTGCGTATGTCCAACCACCGACTTCCCCGACGTTCAATGTTTTATAGTGTAGGAGTAGGTTGGAAGAAAGCTAAGGGCGGCCAGACCAAAACATGGCACAAATCCATGAAGTCATTGACAAGTGAACTGAGTCATGTTGGTAGGTGTAGACTACCTGGTTGGGATTCGCGAGATGATAGCAATCGATGGTTAAAGACCTTGAATGACATGGCTCAAATTCGTTTGCAATGGTGAAGGTGTATCCATTCTTTGTGTTTTGCCAAATTCTAACCTTCTGAATTCTTCATGTCTCAATATTTTTTCTCTTTCCAAATTAATTTCATTGGATTATATTCCTTCAACTCCTTATCTTTCACGTTAATGCTTATACTCTTACTACTTCTACCATTATGGGAATTGAATTGACAACTGCATCTGTGTGCTAATGTGGTATGACAACTCGAACTGATGTACGTGCTACGTTGTGACTGACTGATTTGTACACATTGACAGTTAGTATCTTATTTTCATTTTAGAATTGTAAATTGAATATTCCCTATTTATCTCTTTTCAGGTTATATACTATTATAATTGTGCCAATGTAGCAGCCACTATCACTAAATTGAAATGTATGACTCATCGAGAAAACAAAATAGAAAAAGTCGTTCGAAAACCAAGGTTAGTCAGTTTGTTGCTATCTTTCATTCATATTAAAGAAATGTTATTTAATCAGTAATAATGCTTATTAAAGCATATTATTCTACAGGTGGAAGTTTAATCATTTTTTTTTATCAGAAGAGGGTTTTGTGGAGATTTTAGTAATTTTATATAGTTGGTCTGTCTGTTAAGTGCTCTGGCACGAGACTGGTAGGTCCTGGGTTCGAATCTCGCAAGGCATGATCATGGATGCGCACTGCTGAGGATTCCCACAATAGGACGAAACGGCCTTAAAGCAGTGCTTACAGGTTTTCCATGGTGATCTAGCTTCAATTGACTCATGATTTCAACTATGAAGATAGAATTCTATCATCATAATCAAAGATTATGATCCTAAAGAGTGTAGCCTTATGTTATGACTTGACCTAGCTGTCGCCAATTTGTTATGTTTTTGACCTAGGTGGTAGCCAATTGTTATGACTTGATCAAGGTCGTCGCTGATTCGTTATGACCTTACGAATTTAGCAAGGACGTAATTCGCGTAAATTATCCGCCAATATAATACGCCTTCTACGACCTTCACACTGTGACAATGACGTTCGATTAGTATGAGTAATCTAGCGTCCTTATTGGTCCTTATCCGCCTAACCCGTCCACTTGAGTCCAAAACACCAATAGCAGCCTCAGCAATACGAATCGTTTATTTCAAGCATACTTTGTTTATATATCAGACAGACAGGCCACATCATACCATATAATAGAAAATAATGTTTGTACAAAACCAGGCCAAATGAGGCTGTAAGCGTGGGAGACAATAATCAATAAAACTGAGCATAACATAGGGACAGTAAATCATATAGTAATAATCAATAGGTCAAAATAAAGCTTAGATAATCTAGTTACCGAATAGTTATACAATAAGAATAATAGTCCAATATTAGGTCCTGCAAGTTACCCGTACTTATGTCTTCGCTACTACATAACACCTTACGATAACGTGTTTTATAAGAATTTGTTAATAAATCACCTAATACTTTCTAGATAATTGTCTGACTGGTAATAATAACTTAGTTGTGGTGTGGTGTGTGTTACTTACGTCTGTCGACATAAGTAGTATGTAACGCCAATCAGAAGTGCAATGTTTAACAGAAGAAGGTTGAGAAGATCAAATTGAAGAGAACGGGAGCGTAAATTGAAGGTGAATGTTATAGCAATAAAGGAACAATGATGTTTGAGACATTTGATGGAAGATCTGCAAATGAAGTAGTTAGTGTATGATTTCTTACATTTGACGAAAGAACTCTGTAATTTTGCATTAAATACTTGGATGGTGGATTGGTTGAAGTTAGATATTAACACCGTGGGATGCCGACTCAGTGGTTTATCGGTTAAGTGCTCTGGGCCAAGACTGGTAGATCCTGGGTTCGAGTCTTGCGAGTGCGAATCGTGGATGCACACTGCTGAAGAGTTCCATAATAGGACGAAACGGCCTTAAAGCAGTGCTTCCAGGTTTTCCATGGTGTTCTAGCTTCAATTGACTCATGATTTCAACTATTAAATACTTAAATTGGTTTTCCCCACCTGAGTTTTCATTCACTAAAGCGGTATCTTAAGCACTCAAATTTGATAAAAGTTAGCACGGATTTATGGTCTTATATATCTACTATAGTTTATACCATTTAGTCGTCTCATCTCTATTCTATGCAAGATTAATGTAATTCAAAGTCTGAAATAGAAGTATGTACATCCGTCCACCAGAATTACCATAACATCTACCAACGTCTTCAAAACATTTTAGTGTTTTCTAACAGAATGTTACACTATAGACTGATTTAATGTACATATTGATTGAATTCAATCAAACCTATTTAGTTAGCAATTGGTTTATTCACTGCACTCCTTAATATGACGACTATCTTTCACTTTTTGTACAGATGTTAGATATATTACAAAGCTAATCATACTAAAAGCAAGAGTAGTAGTAGTCTATGAACTTGTCGAATAAATTGTCATTCGGTAACACGGCCGGTATCATTTCTACCCGAGTGTACCAACATAACCCAAGTCAAAGACACTCAAAAACTTTTAGCCTCTGAAAACATATGCAGCTCACCTTCGTTCTTTATATATATAACAAGGAGAAAATTAGCTATCGCTATATGAATGAATATTATCGTTTCCAGTGACGAATAAGGTGATGGCAAGTGTCAAATCTTTAACAAGAAATACATTGCGACAATGCAACAGTTATTGGTATGAGACACGTTTGTTTCGGAATAATAGATTAAAATGTTTTGTAAGGAGATTTGTACCGTTTAAAAAAGACTTTTATCGAATAAAAGTATCGGTATTGAAAAAATTGTAGCACATGGAGCGTTGAATATTTTCACATACTTATGGGACACTTTGTTACTAGTACATTTAAGGACCCAAATCAAATGCGAGACAGATTTCTTTCGTAAGATCTATTGAGTGCCAGCTATGGCTTCCAAAATGCCCTGGTACACCCGAGAGTGGGGAGAGTCAGCTCTCCCTATCGAGATGCTTTGACGGGGCCATGCCTATACAGCCATTACCGCGGAAGTCGCACTGACCGCCTTCTCGCGGCAGTGGTGTTTACGAAGTTGAGAGGACGGAAAGCGAATGTCCAGCGCTTCAACCGGGTTGGTGAATACAGACGATCCACCTAGGGTAGTTGGAAAATGGTGACTCCAAACCGGTGGTTCACATAAGCTCTGGTAGCCTGAGGTAACAAAAGGTGTATGAACCTATTGTTGGTCACCGACCACTATAAGGCTGCATCCCATGACGTTACTCCACTGCCATGTGAGTTTGACCTTTAGGTCAAAGGCTCGAGGAATGGCCTCTTAAGAAAACCACCCTCTTCGGTTTTGACTCCCAGGTAGTATCCAAGCCCTCATACAAATCGAATAATTTGTGTGGGACATATGTATTTGGTGCCCCCTTGTACCAATACATGTTTAAATAAATAATCAGCTATGATTAGTAAACTTAAGAATAAACCAGTAATTCATGAATTATGCCGATATTGAGTTTTTAAATGTAAAATATTGTATTTCATCTTGTCGGTCTAAATTCTTCATGTTTACTGCAATACCGATATGTTTATTTCTGTAAAGAGTCTTAAGTGCGCACGCTAATGTGGAGTCTTGAACAAGCAGGCCCTATAAAAAAAAAGCAGAAAGTGCGCTAAAAAGTGAGCGCCAAAAAAGATTTTTATGATATTATGTAGTCTGAGTTTTTGTTGTGTAATGTGCCTGAAAAGTTCACAAATTGTTAGTCAATAATTTTCTTAAATATTACTTTGTTTGTGTTTATTTCTTTATTCTTTAGATGTCTTCTTGGTAATTGTACAGCAAATGTAGAGTTGACATTTGAAAGACCAATTTGTATAGAAGTTTATGAAAAATGTAAACCTCTTGGACGATTTATGCTTCGTGTTGGCGGTGAATCAATTGCTGGTGGTACTGTAACAAAAGTAAGTGAAAAATATTAATTTAGCACTTATAAAATCTGGTTTAGATTATCCGGTTGTTGATATTTTAACTGAAATTCGATCAGTCTTACTTCGATTATGTGCATCCTGTGCGGATTGTCTCGATATAGTCATTAAGTTTTACATAAAACAGATAAACTATAGCTAGCAGTAGAATTCAGGACGCGCTTGTCGTCCTGTCTGGAAATGGTCAGCGCGGGATAATCTGAACTATTTCAGATTGCATTAAAACTCATACTAATTACATATGTGAGTGGCCATCTAGACTCAATAGTTAATCGGATAACACGTTGGTGTTCAAAGCTAAAAGACAGTAGGTTCGAATTCCAAAGTGGATATCAACTCTGCATTGTAAATCCATCCAGTTGACGATCCTCAAGTAAGATGAAAGGCCCATTTTGGATTTCACTACTAACCATAATTCGTCTATTCTGCATTATCCACAGAACAAGCTAAAACGGCTAACTACTGATTATTAGGTAAAGTAGTTTAGTCATAAGACGAGAATTTTACAACTGGTTTAGTACATGACAAAATTTACTATCGAAACGACTAATCATCAATATGAACTTACATCTTTACGTAATTTTGCATTAAAAATTGAAGTAATTTGAAATCATTCAATTCTTTATTTTTCGGATTACTAGTTCTATTTTAAGTGGTAATTTGTGGGACAGAGTCAGTCAGTCATCTACAACGTGAGACCGAGTGCATACATGTATCGGTCTAAGTTGCCACACCTCATTCGCACAAAAAATGATCACAAAATTCATAGAAGTAGTTACTTCAATGACAGTAATATATAAAAGAAAGACCGCATATAAGGATATGACACAGGAAAAAAATAATTAGTTCGTAGAAAGAAAGATATGAAGCAATTTTAATCTTATAATTTAAGGAAAGACAGAGAGTGTATGCACCTACACCATTGTGATCGATTCTCAGTCATGTCACCCAAAGACTCCAACCATTGATTACGATAGTCACACCAATCCCAACCAAGTAGTTCGCATATACCAACATGACTCAGATTAGAAGTTAGTGACTTCAAGCACTGATGCCACGTTTTAGTTTTGCCGCCTCTAACTCTCTTCCAACCATGCCCAATATTGATAAATAATTCTGATGTATGATTTATATGTGTGTGTGTTTAACGTCTATCAGTCACAAAGTACATCAGTTCGAGTTGCCATACCACATTAGTACGGAGATGCAGTTGTCGATTCAATTCCCATAATGGTAGAAGTAGTAAGAGTATAAGCATTAACGTGAAAGATAAGGGGTTGAAGGAATATAATCCAATGAAATTAATTTGGAAAGAGAAAAAATATTGAGACATGAAGAATTCAGAAGATTAGAATTTGGCAAAACACAAAGAATGGATACACCTTTTCCATTGCAAACGAATTTGAGCCATGTCATTTAAGGTCTCTAACCATCGATTGCTATCATCTCGCGAATCCCAACCAGGTAGTCTACACCTACCAACATGACTCAGTTCACTTGTCAATGACTTCATGGATTTGTGCCATGTTTTGGTCTGGCCGCCCTTAGCTTTCTTCCAACCTACTCCTACACTATAAAACATTGCACGCCGAGGCAGATGTTTAACGTCTATAGTATTCTATGATTATTTAAAGGGTAATTTAATATTCATGTAAGTAGTTTACTTGTTAATTCTTGTACAAACTATTATTTATTACACTAATACATGTCTATGATCAATAATTATCTATTTATCTCTCTTTGTGTATAGATCATTCCATCAAAAAAGGAATCATCTAGTTGATCTGTAGAAAACAATCAAACAAATGGTATCTTTTGAAAAGAAAAAGAACAAATATGTTCACTTTGATTGTTTTAATATTTAACATACTTAATGCCAGAATGTCTTTCATTATTCAATGTTTAAAACAGCTACTATTATAAATATTCAAGTATTCAACCTTCAATACTTTTTTTTCTTACCAGGTCACTGTCTATTTATTTCTGATCTTATATCAATGATACTATTTCAATGGGATTATAAATGTTAATGGTGTATGTGATTGTAAAAAATCGAACAAATAATTAAAATATTATTGTATTTGAACCAATTGTTGATCATTGACTATCATGGGATTGCATCTCCTTACGTTGCCCCACTACTTTGTGGATCAGACCTTTAGGTCAAAGGCTCTGGGTATGGCTCCCTAAGAAAACCACCTAGTTCGGTTTGAGCACCCAGACAGTATCACAGTCCTCACGCAAATCAAGTGATTTGTTTGGCGCATATGTATTCGGTACCCCTTTGTACTAATATTTATGTTCAAATAATTAAAAAATAATTTGTAGTTTGAGTGCGATGAAATTTGTCTTTGTGGAAACTATATTCCTTCCCCAACTACATAGTCTTATCCATTTATACATTGCGATTGATTCAAGGGATATATATATATATATATATATATATATAAGTATGGAGGTTTGTTTAGATTGTAGTATTTTCACAGTTGACATTAGCATCGTTGGATGCCGCCGACACAGTGGTCCAGAGGTTAAGCTTTCTGACACAAGACTGGAGGACCTGAGTTCGAAACCAGCTTGGGGACTTTGTGCACTGATGAAGAGTCCTATACTAGGACGAAACGGCCGTCCAGTGATTCCAACTTTTCAATGGTAGGCTAGCCTGAGTTGACTCGTGAATTAAACTGTGGATATATACATATGTGAAATCGAGCATCCACTCATCAATGTCTTCAGTGAGTTGATATCTCCCAACAGACCTGGTTGAACTCCACTGGTTACTGCTTCTCACTAGAACTCCAGCTAATTCCTTTTGAAACCAGTCACTAGTGAGCATATGATAATCAGTAGGGGTGGTCTAGCTTCAACTGACTTATGAGTTCAACTATGAAATTACTGAAATCTCCACAAAACCCCTTCTGATAAAACTAAGTATTAGTAAGTAAAAAAAATATTTGATAAGTAAAAAACAAATTCTATTATATTTAAAGCGGATGAACATTTAAATAGAAATATAGAACAAATGTTTCATTACAGAATACAACTAATTATTAAAATAGGATTTTAAAGTAGCAAAAAACAGTACAGAGAAGATAGTAAATAGATTGGTACGATTGATTGCCACCAAATGTGCTGATGCGGTCAAGGGTGAGGAGTTCCCTCTAAAAATGCCTTTATATGGCCCTGTGTATATAACCGCAAACAGAGAAGTCATACTCACTGCCTTCATGCGGTGAGGTTGTTTGCAAAATTGAGAAGACAAAAAGTAGATATCCGACGTCTAGACCAGGTTGGTGAATACGGAGGATCCACCTAGAGAAGTTAAAAAAACCCTGATTCCAAACCAATGGTGCACATGAGCTAGAGGATCTTGAGAGAACAAATGGTTTGGAAACCCGTTATCGGTCACCGGTCATTATTGGACTGCATTTCCTAACGTTGATCCATCTTTTTGTGGATTAGACCTCTGGGCTATAGACTCGTGGAGTGTGCCACTAAAAAATCCACTTGCTTGAGGGTGTCAGCGTCTTCGTTCATAATCATCTTTAAACATCAATAATGTGTATTGAATAATGAGGAGTTATCTTCAAACTGTTGGTTTAATGGATGGATAATGTCAGAAAATGAACGATCACGTGTGATCAGAGGCAAATTCTAATTGTCGTACCTACCTAACTCACTTGAACTGAATTTCCGAAGTAGCAAGAAAACCTTCCAAGCATCATCTTGATTGGTAAAATCGAATTTAAATAGGTCCACTTAATGCCTGAACTACATGTCAAAAGTGACGTTAGCATAGGAATCGTAATGAAATCCAACAATACTGTTTGCGATGCCATCATTTGAGGGTGCAGTAGTGGAATTAGATGTATGAGGTAGGCGTAATCTTCGTATCTGTTAATATTTGAATAATGACTACTCTGTGTAGTTCATCTAATTCCCGTGACCTTTTGTACCGATATTTAAATGGCAAGTAAATAAGCGCGATCGATTTTTTTTGGTCGGCATTTATAAACCAAACAGCTGTTTGTAGATTACGCTTGCTACCGTTGGGGTTGCCGATTAGCCCGAACATGGTGAAACGACTTAGAGAGGAGTGTTGAGGTTATGTATTGGGTATTAGGTAAATTAGTTGCGTATCTTTATTGACTAAGATGTTTTAAGCGAGTGCTACGTGTGCCTACCTAAACAAAATATACTTGTTGGTATAGAAATTGCTTAAAAAACTAGGTGTGGTCAACACAGAATACAGCATCAGTCCATGAATAGTGTGGGCCCGAGTGATGTACGTAGATGCAGACTAATGGTTTAGAAAGATGTTGGGTAACAGGTCTTTTGACAGAGCCTATTATTTTCTTGTTACTTGAGCGCTATTGTAACAATACAAAAGTGTTTTTAATTTTATCTAATCCCAAATTAGACCTTTCCGGTATTGGTAATGTTTTTAACGTATTACTCTTAGCATGAAACATGATACAACTTGTTCTAAACATTCAAGGGATTTGTTTTTCATGAACATTGATTTCCGTTTTCTATCGACTGCATAAAATGCATTTTTGTTCAATTCAACCGCTCCGATTTAGCTTCTTAATGAGTTATTGCATGCAGCGATGAAAATTTAGTCTTTTATCTTTATTGAGCAATATGAATTGTACAAGGTAGAGTTATATTATTTCCATATAAGTACATGCCCTCAAATGCCCTAGTACGGTCGAGAGTGACTAGAGTCCGCTCTCCCTCTCTAAATGCTCTCAGATGGCCACGCGTATACAGCCTCTGCCAGGGAAGTCCTACTCACTGCCCTCTCGTGGCATTACTGTTGTATACGAAATTGAGAGAACGAAAAGCGAATGTCCGGCGCTTTAACCTTGTTGGTGGATACGGAGGGTCAACCTAGGGGAGTTGGAAAACTCTGATTCCAAACCAATGGTGCACATGGGCTCCAGTATCCTGAGGGAACAAACAGCGTATAAATCAATTTTTGGTGACCCGCCACCAGGGGACTGCATCTCTTCATGATGCTCCACTGTCTTGTGGATCAGACCTTTAGGTCGAAGGCTCGGGGTGTGGCCCCCTAAGAAAACCACCTGCTTCTATTTGGGCACCCGAATTTGAGGGTGAGGTAGCGTAATTATATGTATGAGGTAGGCGTAATTTTCATATGTTAATATTTGAATAATGACTACTTTGTGTAGTTCATTTAATTCCCGTGGCATTTTGTACGAATATTGGAATGGCAAATAATTAAGCGCGATTGATTTTTCTGATCGGCCTTTATAAACCAAACAGCTGTGTTTCACCGAGAACATTTTTGTAGGTTACGCTTGCTACTGTTGGGGTTGTCGATTAGCTCGAACGACTTAGAGTTGGTTATTAGTTGCGGATCTTTATTGATGAGTGCTACATGTGCCTAACTAAACAAAAGATACTTGTTGGTATAGAATTACTTAAAAAACTAGGTGTGGTCAACACAGAATGCAGTATCAGTTCATGAATAATGTGGGCCCCCAAAATTCCCTGGTATGGTCGAGAGTGACTAAAGTCCGCTCTCCCTCTCGAAATGCTGTCACATGGCCAAGCGAATATACAGCCTCTGTCAGGGAAGTCCTACTCACTGACTTCTTGTGGCATTACTGTTGTTTACAAAAGTAAGAGGACGAAAATCGAATGTCCAGCGTTTTAACCGGGTTGGTGGATGTGTATTGTCTACCTGGGAGAGCTGGGAAACCCCGATTCCAAACCATTGGTGCATACGGGTTCAAGTATCCTGAGGGAACAAATGGCGTATGAATCAATCAATGGTCACCGACTTACCATAGGACTGCATCTCTTTACGATGGTCCACTGCCGTGTGGATCAGAACTTTAGGTCAAAGACTCCGGGAGTGGCCCCCTAATAAAATCACCTACTTCGGTTTGGGCACCCGAACAGCATAATAGCCCTCACAGAAATCAAATGGAAATTGGGCGGAGAATATATATCTGGTGCTTTCTTGTACCATATATGTTAAGTCGGTTTCCAGAGAACTCCAACAGAGCCTCCAGAGGCTCAAAAAGAGCTCCAACCAATCAGAGCACGACAGAACATTCTGGAGTTCCAACGTGGCATGCTACCATTGGTCAGTAGCAATATATGTCGTTTATTGGATTGGCTGAATTAGGATGTTGATTTAACTTAAGCAAACATGTATAAATACTTACGATTTTTCTGTACAAAGATGAACCTTGTAGTAAAGTGATTCTCTGATACTCGTGTCTTCTCTCTGGTCGCTGAGTAGTGCTAGCCTGGGGTTATCCGAATAGCTTAGGATCTGAATATAGCGTTCAACCCACAAGACATATCAGTGGCGACGGGGAAAAACTACAAGACATATCACTGGCGACGAGAAAAAAAATGACAATGAGTATTTCTTTAGAGCAATTTGAAGCTTATATGGAGCGTCAAGAAAAACGGTTTGAACAGTCTCAAATCAGAGTCATGGAAGCTCTTATGCAGAAATTATGTATGTCTCAACAAAACTCTGCTGCTGGTGAATTTCAAGTATCTCATACTGACTCAGTTATTAACGCAATCCATGAATTTAATTTTGATGGTGCAGCAGGTGTCACTTTTAACTCTTGGTTTAAGAAGTATGAAGATTTGTTTCATATTGATCTCTGCAGACTGGATGACGCTTCAAAAGTCAGAATACTTCTAAGAAAGCTTGGGACAACAGAACATGAACGCTATAGTAACTTTATTCTCCCGAAGAACCCACGAGACTTTAGTTTTGATGAAACAATT